GGCTCACAAGTACAGCCACAGTCACAATATCATGACAACTGGCCAGGACCTTACCTGTGATACTGTGGAGCGCAATTCATACCCTTTCTGGAAGCCACGGAAGGCTACGGTCTGGACAAACACACGCAGCCATAACATAAACTTAAAAGGTGGCCAAAATATTCGATTTTCCTGTAGCAAAGAAGTGCTTCAGCAAGAAGTGACTGTGGCACAAGCATAGAATCATGACAAAAAGGCCACCTACCGACAAGAAGCCAGGGTTCTTTTTGTCAAACTCAACGAGCTGCTGTTTTGCTTGCACACGAATGTCCTCCACAACATCTGCGTTCATAGCAATGAGGTGAGGAACAAACTACACACAAGCACACAAAATGCAAAAGGAGACGCAGCTGACTATCACATTAAACCACTCATTCTTCCTTCACAATGTCAGACATGAAACAACATACTGACAGAGGAGAAAAAGAAAAGAAAGCCAAGAGAGCATGCACAAGTGAAGATCTGTCCAACAGATTGAAATTACGAATTGCATTATGATGCAGCAAAGTTAGAGTAAGGGGTTCTCCCCAGATATATGCAAGATATACATATATGTATTGAGTCGACACCTTTGTACATGTACTTGGACGGGTTGGAAGGTTTTCGCTTGTTCAGCGTCAAACAGGCGGGACAGAAATGTACGTGAAGTGCCTCACCTCGTACGGATGTACCAGACCATGTGAGAAGACCAGGCCGATAACGTGCAGTGCGGCAGAGCGAACCTCCTTCACCTTGTGCAACATGCAGCATGTGATGGACTTCAGGTATACTTGTGCGATGGAACTGCTCACACTGTATGTACAAAAAGCAGTAAGGAAAGGTTATTAGTTATCGACTGGCAAAGCTGGCAACAGAGCAACACAATCACTGTGTTCCTTAAAATTTTTAAAAAGGATACAATCTTCCTTCGTCAATCTAGCACGCTATACACCAGCATCCATGATTAACTAGCAGTATTGCAACTTTTTTCAAGGAACCAAAATGTCCAATTTAGGCACATGGCACCATACACCCGATTTATTAATCCAGTAGACTTTCTGTCAAGCAAAGTGGAGCCGATGACCACCGTACTACAATGTACAGATAAACAAATATCTACTTTGGTACAGCAGAGGTGACAATGCAAGGCAGAAAAGGTATTGCTAGGATTGTCACTGGGCATATGCAAAATTGACACATTTTTTGACACTTGAGCAGCATCAGTATTTTCTCAAGCATTCAACATTCAACAGTGAAGTCTCTTGTACGAGCAAAATAATTGTGCAAATCATCACAAACTCATTTATGGAAGTACAATGTAGATATTCCAAACTGTACAGAAATCAATTCAAGTTTAATTCAACAGTGGCGATTAAGTGTAGTAGTAGTAGTAGTAGTAGTAGTAGTAGCAGCAGCAGCAGCAGCAGCAGCAGCAGCAGCAGCAGCAGCAGCAGCAGCAGCAGCAGCAGCAGCAGCAGCAGCAGCAGCAGCAGCAGCAGCAGCAGCAGCAGTACATACTGTGATTGGCTGTCCCAGTTGACCAACTTGTCACTTTGTCCAGCGTCACCATTCTCTTGACTACTTGCTTTTTGCTTCTTCTCTGCACACATGCACGAGAAAAACACAAAAAGCACAATATATACACACAGTGGAAGCACTTACCCCACACTATCAGACCTTACAAAGTATACACACAACCCCTCACTAGGAGCAGGGTAGCCCCCCCCCCCCCCCCACGCCACTCATTCGGCGACTTTTGTGTTTTTTTCAGGCCATTTAGCGAAAAAAAGCCGTCGATAGTCACTAACAGAGGGCTCATAAAGGCACACGTGTCTGGGGAGAGCCCCGTATGTTGCATTTTGCGTGGCAAGACAATTTGGGAAAATGGAAAAAATGGGTTACGGGGTAACTGTTCACCGTGCCCCCCCCCCCCCCCCCCCCTACTAATTTTACCTGGCTAGAACCCTGCTAGTAGTAGGTAAATACCACCACACACTAACCTGCTTTCCTCTTTTCCGCTTGCTTTGTCATGTGCACTTCATCCTCTGCCAGGTACATGCTCATGTTCCGGAGAACCTGTCACAGGAAACATACCACCATCAGAACACATAGAAACAAACACATGGAGGTTTCACAGGGTCCAGGAGAGCTGCTATGTTATGTCCAATATTTTAAAGACAGTACTTGTTGCAAGATCCATACCACAATCGAAAGCATTGGCTTCCTCCTGTTCATATGCTATAAGGTTGCACCTCGGCTTCGTCATCCAGCCTCACTTTTAAAGTAAGCATAGCTTCTAAAGGCAATTTAGAAGATTGTTCCGTCCGTTTGCTCATCGGATGTACCCAATGTACCACACTCCACTGAAAAACCTGAAACACAATAAAATATCATCCGCACAAACCTGCGTTGTAAGCTCAACATTGGCTTTGGAGTCGAGGAAGGAGGTGTACAACTTCTCACTTTCCGGCCGCACCATCATGTCTGGCTTGCCCATAAAGAAATGACCTAAAGTAAGCACAGAAGAGTGAAACAATGAAGATGAAGACATCTAACAAACATAAGCCAAAAAGTAAGGCATAGAACAAGATTTGGCAAGAGCAAGGATGCCACTACCAAAGTACACGTAAAGTCACTTCGATGATACATGAAACAAAGACTATACGGTGAAGGTTAAGCAGTGGGAACTTTGGAAGACCTATTGTAACGACCAGGATAGAAGAATGGGGAAAAGGCCGGGGCTAAAGTAAGAAGCAGCACCAGTACTCAAGCCAATCAAACAAAAACCATGCCTTACCTAGAGCAGCAAGAGACTTCATCCTAATGGGCCCATCTGTTCGCTGAACAAGGCCCATAAGTAACCGGAATACCTTTTCAGTTATGTCCGCAATCTATATATAAATCGAATCACACGTACAGAATATTTCTATTGCCATCCTGCCCAGAAAAGTAGCTTCCATGTTGTACTAGTAAGCGCACCAAGAGACCAACATGAGAAGATACAGGATCAGGAAGACATTGCACAGCAGAACACTTTGGCCCAGACCCAGCTACGGATAGCCAGGTGATGGCAAACAAGCTGCAGTCTACAATACAATTGTTCAACCTACAAGATGGTATGGAGTTAGTGGCGAAGAACTTCAACATGGCAACTGTACATAAAGACTTGCATACCGAGGTATGCATTGTACTTCACAGAACTCAGTGATCTTTTGGGAAGTTGACACGCACAACTAAATCACAACTAGTTGCACAAAAAAAACCATACTTCTCCATTGACGTTCAGAACTGCGGAGTGGTCAAAATAGCGACACAAGGCACCCACACACAGGACACTGCGTAGTGCCAGTGCGCGGCGATTGCCCTGCGTAAGAAGATTTGGCTGCTTGCAGGAGCTGTACAGAAAGTCTGCATGGCAAAAATAGACAAACAAACTATTTCTCTTTCTATCCTTAGATATACTCCTTGGCTGGAGATGAACAAGCACGATGGAGAAACACAGAAGAAAAAGTTTCCAAGATCTAGCCGGTGCAAGTCAATGGAGCGCATGGGTAGATTTAATTGCAATGCTTCAGCAGTTCAGCTCCGTACTGGAGTATATCATTGATCTATTGCACACAACATGCTGAAAGAAACTTCTCGAACAACTGAAGAAACCACGACAGGAAGTACTTACCATAGAACTTGCGGAAAGTCTCATAAATGAACTTGTAGTTGTGTGTCACCTTGTTGACAATCACCGACAGGCATCCAATGGCAGGAACAATAGGCTACAGAGAAGCAATACACACAGACACGACACCGGCACACAATGGCATCGTATCCGAGAAATAGTGAGAAGATGCTTCAGAGCAGCAGGAAACTTCCAAGTGATTTTGCAGGAGCATAGCATGAGCTCCAGTTATGTTACCGGGGATAGTGTAGTACTGTGCAACTGCCAATACACATATGCTGCGCTGATACATAGTACAACATTTCACCAAATGTTCGTATACTCGTGAGCACCTCACACTGGGATGGCGAGGGGATTTGCTAACTGTGAGGGTGCTCTTCATCTTTGCTTGTTTTCTGACAGCTTAGGCACATGGACTCAGCTGAATCAGTATCCACACTGGCACTATTCGCCTTGACAAATCCTGCTCATAAGGACTGAGGGCAAGACAACGGGCACTGCAACTTACTGCCTGTGGTGCAACAAACATCATCTCAGCAAGCCGCTCCTCCATATTGGCAAGGAATGATGGACTGGGATGCTCCAACAGGGGCAAGACAGCTTGAAGCATCTCAGACACATAGCAAGACAATTGAATGCTGACTGGATTCTGTGACGAACAAACCACACCAAACCACACAGGACATGAAATCACTCCACACTCAGTAAACTAATGGTTTATTACAAATCAAGCTACTTACCTCCCATGACATGTCCAAATAGGGCAGGATGCTTGGAGCATGTGAAACTGCGAGATGTGGGTCAGCACGAACAAATAAACACAGCGTCCAAATGCAGGGAAGTAACTGGTCTGATTCTAGTCGCTGAGCGGCCTTCGCTGACTTGCTTGATTTCTCTGAAGGAACACAAGGAAAATGTACAAATGCAAACAAGCACGAACACACAAGTCATTGCATGACAAGTTCAAATTCAAAGTGTGACAACAGAGCACTGTAAATATGAACAGAATGAAACAGAGACGACACCCACAGCAAAAGCATTTGAACAGTTCAACCAACGTACCTTGCGAGGAGGTCTCCTCGATCACTAGCATATGCTTGACAAGGCAGTCGACTAGGGTTTGACAAACAGCCCTAGTAGTAGCAATACTAGTAGACGAAGTGTTCTTCTCATCCTCCTCATCTACACGTAGCATCTAATTCAAAAGAGCAGAACAAGGCAAGACATCTGTGAACTATGATCATGAAACCATTTTCACACAAAGATAAAAGCAAACCTTCATAACAACGTGACGGCACAAATGCTAGTTGTGAAAACAGGATATTCGCCTGCCCCCTCCCCCCCCCCCCAACCCCCCAAAAAAGGACAGTGAAACTTCAATATAACACATCATGGATATAACATACTATTTCATTTGCACTAGATAAAAAGTGCTTTTTGAAGACATTGCATATCCTTCTATAGTCATTTGGTGTCCGGATATAGGGTACCTTGGCCATAAAGCACAAAGTTTCACGTCCCATGCAGGTACATTATACTGTACTGTTTCACTGTAGATGATAATTGCACGCCCAGCCCATACCTTCTTCAGTAGCTTCTCAATCCACTCATGAGTGTCCTTGCTACTGATGGCCACCTGAATCACGCAGGGAAAATTACGGAAACACCAGTGTCAGTGTACATGTAAGGCAGTTACTGCATGGACTACTGAGTAGTCATGTAAATACTTCCTCCGTATACAAAAACTTCGTGACTTTTTTTAAGGCTGCGCATAGCTCTGGAATTGTTCCGTTTGACTTGGAATAACACTCGTGGCATTGTCTAACCTGCTTACAAGCTATATACAAAGAAAAAAGCAACTCAGACGAATGAGATTGAGTTTATTCAGAGTCTTCGTCGCTCCTGTCATTGTCACCTGACGACGCTGACTCTGCATCGCCAACAGTCGCTGCTTCCGCTCGCATTTCGTTCAGATTCTTTTCCGCTGCAATGACGATCCGACACGGGACTTTGGCTAGCGTACTCTTCATTTCCAGAGCTGTGTACGAATCGGTGTCGACTATATTCAGTCGTTCCAACCCGCGACCTCCATTATGCCGTGAAACGAGTCGCTCAAGCACATCCACACGCTTCGCATTTTCTCGGCAGGAGAATCCTCCCAGCATTCTACAACGGCTTCGACGAGGTCCCTGCGATTCCCCTAGGCCACAACGGAGACGTCTGACTGGAGTGGAGAGAGGCGAAGAAAGCCAGGTCGTCGACATTCCGATCCGGAGTCTGCGCTGGTTGCACGACGACTGAAATGTTTCAACTTTCCGTGCGAGCAGAACCGATGTATGTTCTCACGCTGCGTATGGGGCCGCGCACCGCAAGTACGAGCCTGGCCAGTTTCAGGGCAGCGAGTGCCGCGCGAGTCGTGACTCCGTGTTCCAGGCGCGAGCTCCACTTCGTCACGGTGTCAGTTTCGAGCAAGTAAGTGTTAGTTTTTTGTCATTTGACTCGTGAGTTCCTGTCGGCAACGTCCTCACACGCATGGCTTCCGTGGAGAATCTGTTCGAGATCAACCAAACCTACCTCAATATGAATGTGGGTTGTCGATGACAGCCTTCGGCGCGGTTCGTTGAGCAGGTTCTTGCTCAAAAACACCGTTGAAAAAAGTCACGAAGTTTTTGTATACGGAGGAAGTACCAAGAAAGCAGAAATAAGCAACTACACATGTGAGAACTATCCGCGCGGCAACTGAAAACAGACCACGTTCAGATAGCTGCGCTAATGCTAACCGGACGCAGTGTACATAAGCATTGGGAAAGAACTTACAGCCTTCACAATGTTCTTGACGCGTAGCAAGACACCATCCCCAACTCCAGATGGGGTGGTCGATTCAAGCTCCTTCGATGTGAACGGGCAGAACCACATTTCTTCAAACACTTTACGAACAAGGGCCTGCAGTGCGAGCACATCACAGACGAGACGTACAAAGCCAATAACATGAATCTAAATCTCATGTTAATGTACATCTACAGTATAGAAAACTAATCAAAACCGGAACATTTTCATGCAAAGTGTACACATGTCAACTGGAAACCACAATGCAGTGAGTCAACTGGAAACTACAGTGCAGTGAGTCAACTGGAGACTACGTAGCCACGGGGGCGACGGTAGAGATGAAGCCACAAGACCAAAGGTGCGCATACGTTGTCAAAAAAGCAAATTCACTATCAGGTTCACTTACTGCTTTCTTTGAAGCAGATTTCCATGGTTAGACTGCTTACCAACAGCACAAACTCACCTTTGTACTGTCTTCCTCTTTCAGACAGCGGATCATCAGCAAACAAATGTCAGGAACGTGTTTGAAATCGGGCTGTTGAATGCAAATGTCACGCATCGTCTTGATGACACGCTTGCGAACACTAACTCCAGCATCCTACAGTGCCATGCACACCCACACCACCACACAGAACAACATTACAAAATTGTTACACAGACATCAAATTACACGATTTACACTACGAGTATCTGCATCATGAGCACATAAGCCACTCCTAAAATCCAAAGAGTAAGTAATGGAATGATGCTACATGTACGTCAAGTATCTTCAATTTAGGACTGCCAATAAAACACTGCCCGGTGAGTTGTGATGAAAGTAAGAACTGAAACCAGTGATGGTGGGTTTTGTGATAGCCTTTTTGCCATGCGTGTCATTTTTGATCAACTTACAGATATTCTGTCGGAGAGCATCCGATAGTAGTTGAGCGTCAGGTCTGGCTTCAGCAGCACAAACTTTCCAATCAAATCAACAGTAGCCTCACGCATGCTTGTCGAAGGATCTTTCAGCCTCGCATGTACAGCATTCTGAACTTCCTCCTGATATGAGTAAGACACATAATTTGCATAAAATAATTTCGTCAGCAACAATGCACATGAGCCAACTGTAAGTGCCTACGTCAACTTAGCCACAGTTGCATCACTGCAAGCACCGGCTGCACCAAAAAGTAGAGCAGGCCCCACATTTTGCCACTAGCTGGTATGAGAACGTCTCCAAATACAATGCTGGTTTAGGCAGCTTTCAGGGAAATGGATCCATGTCAAGGAAATAGCAAACGTTGGACAAAAATGAAGCACAGCTAAGCCCACAAAGATGGGAAGGTCATCAACAACCCGGAAAAGCATACCTTGGCAAGCAATGAAGGGTCGCAGTTGACGATCACCGACAAGGCTTTCATGGCTTTAGTTCGCACTGTAGCAGCAGCATCTGCTAGCTCCACCAAAATCTACATACACAAAACACAAAGTACCAGTGAACATCAACTGATGGTACATGCATTGGGCTATACATGTCGTCTACTCAGCCAACACCTAAAAATAATTTTCAAATACACTATGGTCTCTAACCACCTAGTAAAAACTCCTACATAGGTACTCTAATCGTACTCTAATCGATAGATTATCATTAGGGGTGAAACGATTATATTATCGATTACTCAGTGATTACTCGGCAAGAAAAGTATCGAGTGATTATTGCACTCATTATCGCCTTATCGGCTGTACGATAGTTCTGTAATGTACAAATTGAAGCGAGCATGGCCGTATGGTTCAGAGCGGGCGCACGCAAACCATCCATATGCATGCACTGTGTGCGTGAGTTGCAGCAGACTACTTATGGCGTACGGTCTTTCTATGCTAGATCTGTGCATTACAGTACATGCATGCATGCCTACAAGGCACACGGTTTGACACCCGCTCTCAAAACCAGAACGGTTTCAGACCAAGACTGCAACATTAGTGCAAGCGTACACACGCCGTTGCAGCTCTGGGTGCATGCCGTTGGTCTGTGTTATGGTTCTTCTCCCGGCTATGTTCAATCAAATTTGTTATAGCACTTGGGCTGATACATTAATATGCTTTTTCCGGACTTTATAGTTTATACCGGTACCTGTTCAGACCACGTGCCTACGGTATGCTCTTCGCCTCCCAAACCACTCAAAATCAAGCAGAATGAATGAATATGATTGATAATTTGAATTGATAGCATCAAAATGAATACCGTTGAACACAGTTACTACCGTACTGGCAATATATGTTGCCGCGTAACGCGTAACGCAGGGGGGTGCGGCGATCTTTTCATTGCAGTTTGCACTGCAAAGGCTGAAAACTGTGAAAGCACGTGTACCGCGTGGCAAAAAAAAAGGACTGCGGCAATATAGAAACCTGTGTAACGGCTCCTGTGCGACTTTGCATGTAACGCCCTGCGTGCGGTAAACATGTGCCAATGTAACGCTTCATGACCTCACTGCGACCATATATATTGCCAGTACGGTATTGAATAACGTGCGTGCAGAAACAGATCGCAAAGCCGATTGTTATGGTATCAGCTAAGCCGATAACTAAATTTCACGATCGCTGCACCCCTAATAGGTCTTTTGCCAAATAAGAAACGCAGTGACTTGGCGGGGCATGGCATGCGTACTGAATGCGTGACACAGGCACGGGGTACATGCAGTGCATTCCTCCCAGCGCGAGCTCTTGTTTTGGAACCGCAACGATCAATCATCGCGTTTGGCGTGTACTCGCCCACGTGGCCAGAAAATGTGGCTCTCCTGGATCGAAAAAACTGACAGCGAAGGGTTTCTGTTTTATTCTCGCTTTTTCATCGCTGTTCGCTGTTTGTTTAGAAAGTATCTCTTTGCATTTACTTCTCGCTGGGCCTTTGCAGTGAGTTTGATACATGGCTGATGAAGCGGTCCATGAGCCGAGCCCTTCTTCTCTTGCCGCGATACGTTTCGATGAAGGGAACGTTGAAACTAGTCCTGTGACTGAAAATGAAGTTGAAGATCCCAATGTTCGGTTTGTGATGCCTCCGGACAACGAGTCGTTTGAAAAGTGGACGGTGAACCAGTTGAAGACGTACCTGCGAGCTAGAGGAGCCCGAGTGTCCGGGAAACGAGATGAGTTGCTCGAACGGTAAGTACCACTTCGGTATGCAGTCTTCAAATAACTTTTCGCAACAAGGAAAAGGAAATGTTATCGGTACATGTGTTTGCTTTCCAACTTCCTCCATCTGTTCAGGACCAGGTTCTACCACAACGATCCAAAACTGCGCACTCCAGATACATCTGGCGGCAGGCGTCGGCAAGGAAAACGGAAGAGTGCTGCCATTCAGAGCATTGTTGACGCTGAGCTCGTGGAAGCACATAGTGATGCAATAAGCACATCGTCCACTGTAGCAGCTATATCTCGTCCTAGTTTTCCTGACACAGGGTGGGACACATCAAGCTCTGCTTTGCCAAATGACCTATCGCTTGGTGTGATTTTCGATCACCTCCGAGCCTGCGGCAAGTATGCTACCGTGAAAAAGCCCTTCACCCGCGGATTCAACTTCTTCTTCTGGAGTTACATACATTCTGTGAGCTGTTGCAAGATTGCAATGTCTACTGAGACCCCGACCAGATACTTCATCAAAGCCAAGTGCTGGGCGTCCCAGTCCAAGAAAGAAAGTTATGCACTGGAGTGTTTAGTTGAAGCAGCTGCTACAACTTACCTGATGTCAATCGCTTATGCACACTGCTCTTGCACTGCTGGAGTTGCTGGCTCGTGCCATCATCTCGTCGCACTGCTCCCAAGCATTGAGCACTGTGCGAAGAAGCAGCAGGATGTACTAGCAGAGCAGACTTGCACAACTGAGAAGCAGGCTTGGGGTCCTCGGCCTCGTCAAGTTGTCGCACAGCCAGTGTCTTCACTCGTAATTGAAAAAGCGGATCCCGTATGTCACGTGATTGTCGCCTTGGAGTTGACCAATGACAGATCAAACAGCGCGGGCTGGAAAGCGCGATCCTGCCTGCTCAAAAGGTGATGGAACTGGATCCACTGCCCGTCGTCAAGTGACGACGGGCAGGAACGGATTCCACTGCCCTGGATTGACTCTCTACTTCATGGTCTTTCGGTTACTAATAAAATAACTAAAGCAGAAGAGCGACTGTTTGCAACCACAACTGCCATCATGGCGCTCCAACATTTGATCTGGAACTGGGAGAAAAGAAGCCCCTTTGTTGAACGATATTGGCGATGTGAATGAGCTCCTCCAAAAAGTTGAGGAAGAGACTGAAACTTTTATTGCGGAGTCGCTCGCGAAGGAGATCTTGGCCGAGCCGGATGAGCCTCAACCAAAGCGCGCAATGCTCAGCAACCTGCAGGACCCGCGCAATTTGCCGAGGTTTCCGATCAAGACGTGGGAAAAATCCGTAGGAACAGAACAGTCAGAATGCCCGATGCCCAGTTGACAATGTCAATGGCACCACGAGAAGAAAAGCACTATGGACTACTACAAAAAACTGTACCAGAAAACAATCACAAAACACAATGCAGGTGTGTCTGTCATGTATCTCTTTATTTGGCTTGGGTGCACACGGGAAACACGTTCCAGTCACTCATACTCGGCCAGTACCGCTGTTCATCCAGCCCTTGCTGCTATCGCGGCGTGGGCTGGATTCTGCGGTACTGCCCTCGTACTCATGCAGGAACCTGTACTTCGTGGGCTTCTTCCATGCAAATACGCTTGGAACAGCAGTAGATTTCAGCCTTGCGCCCTACTTCTTTGTCCCTTGGACATAGTCTTCGTCCGTGAAGTGGTTAGAACACACCACTGTACTGTACGACATGATGGTAAACACACCGTCCCTCTCATCTCGACGGATGGCGGCAATCCAAGACTTCCTTGTGTCCAACTCGTCCCTGCTCACGCTTCTAGCTTCTCCAGTTTTTGTTTCTTTGCTACCAGGGAAGACGTGGAACAACGTATTTTTGTCCGAACGTCGGTCGCTGTTGCACTGCGGAACGCAGCAGTGATCGCCTTTCCCCATGACTAGAGAAGCTGGGAAGATGTCCTACATAACAAAACTGAACACTTTACAAGAATCAGGCGGAGAATCTCCAGCGGCTGTTCTTTTATCTTCTAAAGTATCGAGCGCGATCGCTTGAAGAAGTTAGTTTCTGAAAGTAAAGGCACGAACAAAAATAGAAGGAAAAGTCACATTTACACGTGGGCGAGTACACGCCAAACGCGGTGATTGATCGTTGCGGTTCCAAAACAAGAGCTCGCGCTGGGAGGAATGCACTGCATGTACCCCGTGCCTGTGTCACGCATTCAGTACGCATGCCATGCCCCGCCAAGTCACTGCGTGTCTTATTTGGCAAAAGACCTATTATCATCTACTACCATCAATTGACAGAGGAACTTGATTGAACACCTACCTTCACTAGGCAGTACTCAAAGGTATGGACAGTGTCATTGACGAGATGTTGACCAATTCTGTCCAGTTGCTCAGAGGTAAGGTCAACCCTGGACCTGCCCACATAAACACAGTACACATGGAGGTACAATGTCTCCCCTACACAATCTTACTGTTGAGAAGTTCAAGCCATGACTGGGTCTAACAATAATGATGAAGGGCATGATAGACTAGTAAACCATTCCTCACATACTGTACTTTCTTACACAAAACATAAAAGTCTGCCTCAACTACATGTAGAAGCCTGGTCTTCAAGATGGCTCATCAATACACAGGCCTGGCTTTGACTATTCCTTTAACCACCCTCTGGAAGTACAGCAAGTCGACATAGCATGCAATGTTGCACGCAACAAGAATACTCTTGATACAGTAGCAATAATTCAACGTGCAGTGTGCACTAACCTCTTAGGTTTCTTTCCATCGTCAGTGGAAGCAGCAAGTGCATACAGAAAATCACAATAGTCCTCTAGCTCCTTGTTCAGAATGACCAGGGACTCCGCACTGGCAGCAGTCAAGTCCTCATTGTCGCCGCCTTCAGGCATGGTCAAGAGGGTCCGTTGCTTTTCGTACGCCTGACACAACCACCGTGATAGATGATAGTCTTTGGCCACCTGTAATACAAAAGCCCATGACAAGCCAGCGAACAGAACAGTTTCACCATTGCGCACTTAAATAGCCAGCAGTATGCATTTACCATTGCGTATCTAAATAACCAGCAGCATGCATGTCAACAGTGCTCACAGACAATTGTGGAAAACGAATAATTCTGGGGTCAGAGTAGGACTCCTTTCAGGCAAGGACATGGGATACTTGAATCAATTGTCCTGAAAGGGGTCTATCAATGTACGTACAGGAACACCTGTGGAAAGATTCAGCAGAAAAAATTATGGAAATTATTATCATCCCACATGCACACAGACACAAACATCTGTTGACGGGTGATCAAGTAATACTATAAGTTCCGGTCCTCAGGAAACTTACCCGGCAAGCAGGGTCATTCATGGACAGGAAATGAAGTTGCTCAATGAACACACGTCTCAATAAGAAGTCATCCTGCAGATCAGCAGAGGTTAAAATCAGAAATCAAACTGACTAGGGCAGTACAGACAGCAGCACCATTTCAGAATGGGTACCGCATTCATAAATCAAAGACAGATCAGTGCAGATGCTAGCAGCAATAGCTCACGTTCATGGGTGGAAAAGGTGTCCCAGTATGCTCAATGTGTCCCATACAAATATTCATACTCTCAGCCGTACGGGAACTCCAACAGTACCCTACCTGCTCATCTCGGTCACAGTCACTGTCGGCCAGTTTAGAACGGATCTAAATGTGACAGGCACAAACAGATAGAATGATAGATATTACATTTGATGTTTAAATGTATAAACTGACAGCTTGCTCCATGCCCAGACGCAGTGTTTATACGCACACCAGGGAGAGAAGATTAGATGAACCAGTTGATTGTCCTGTAAGCTTTGACTATGTAAATACGAATGTATTTCAGGGGGGATTTTCAGTACATGAGGAATCATGATAATTCATATTATCATACCGTCTAAGGGGTCGTCTGTAATTATCGATCTTTTTTACGAAGAGAAAAAGTTTCGTTTATGGGTTGATGGGTTGAGGAGAGTTTCGTTTTGAAAATTATTGATAGCTGAAACATCAATCCATTCTAGCTGTCAAGTCAATATATTTTTCGTTGAAGGGGGTGGGTTGGTGGGGGAGAGTTGAAAGCACTCGAAACTAAACTTTTTCGTTCCGTGAAAATTATCGATAATGCCGGATGGCCCCTAAGTAGAATATATTTCCAGAGCCGGGTTCACCCAAACAAAGTCGAACCTCAGACTGAGGATGTGCGCCGAATAAGAAGTGTCACAAAATCCAAACACATAGAAATGTGTAGGATTCATGCTGATAATTCGAAGTGTGTGGTGATGTTCATCGAAGTTCACTGTACAGTGTACTGGCCAACTGTGTATGTGCGAGAGCATAGTTTGGCCGGGCCGTGGTGGTGATACTGGCAAAGACATAACATTGTTTGGAGCACACTAAATGCGTACCCACAGGATATATTATGTAAAGAGTGTGCAATGCGAGCAGTTTGACATGCATATCGTGTTGTGGGTGCTTGCTTAGAACGGCCTGATAATTAGAAGTGTTTCCCCTAGCAAAGTGAGGTTTACATAGTTAATTCCACATACAAAACTACAAGCATAAATCTGTACCTCGGCCACAAGAGACTGGATGGGCTCTGCACCATCCATCTCCATACACTGCTTGCGAGCCCTGGCGGCAATCGAGCCCATGTGATCCAAGGCCACGACACGCGTAGACATCTCGCTTGACTTGCTGACGGCGCCAGTCTGCAGCAAGGATATAGACACGTAACATCCTTTCAGCCATTATTGCTCCCACAGAAAGAAGTCATACCAGTGTTCATACAATGGCATTGGTTTATTGAGGTCAAGCAGTACATCTAGTATTTTTTAAGTCTTTTATTTCATCCCTAATAGCAGTACACATGCAATTGCATAGCGACAACTTACCAATAGAGGAAGGAGCAAGTCAATAACGATCTGAGCAGCAGGCCATTCTGCAGAGTACAGGCAAACTAGTATGTCCTGAACGAAGTTTCCAAAGAGCGGCCGAAAGTCGTTTTCCTCCTTGGTGTGGCACCTGTTAGCAAGGAAAGCCGAGACATAAATACATTCCACTTACTGGTTGAAGGAGTTTAGTCCAAACATGGCACCGAACAGACTTCCTTCAATGCAGGTAATCATACTCAACAAGATAGTGCCCCATTAAAGTCTCAGACCCTGTGATTTGAGGCGAGCGATCGCTCTCGCGCGCCTTATTTTCTTGGAAGGTGCACTTTTTGTCGCGCGCCTGAAACTATTTTTGGCTTGCATGCATGCGCATGTACGCTTTTCGGAGTGCAGCGCAACTCTACTATGAGTCTATGGTGTCAAGTGCACTCATCGATCCGTGCGCAGGAACTGTGCCCGTGCGCGCTGTTATGAAACAGACTAGACAGTGAGTTAGTCATGTGTAGTGACATGCACAGTACTGAGTAGGCAAGTTCACTGTGAGTGTGACACAGGCACTGCACTGGCGCGCCCAGCTAGCCTGGCGTGACCTCAGGGCATTTCAAATGCCTGGATGAATGATTGCTTGAACTAGTCAGAGCAGTCTGTACCGCGTAGATCTACCACCAGTCATGAAACACTGCAGTTCAGCGGGTTTTACGGACCCCTGCATGCAGCGCAGGGGTCCGTACAACCTTCTGAACTGGCGCCTGGCGGGTCCGAGTACTGTAGCAAGATAGACCGCAGTCTGACATAGTAGTACTGGCAGTTCTGCTAGTGCATGCGTTGCAAGTAAATGCACCCAAATGACGCTTTTGGTACTCTTACTCTTAGAATAAAAGGCCAAGTGGTCAACTGGAGTTGATCATACCAGTTGTTTTCTTTCCTTGCGACATGATCCCTTGCTGGTGATCTCCTGCTGCTGCTGGCAGTAGAAATGTCGAAAGGGAACAGTGTGCAGTTGTCCACTTTCCTCAGCTGGAAGGTAGATGAGGACATAGGCTTCAACTTCGTGAAGAAGGAAGGTAAAGAGCTGGTCGTGAAAGTGTGGTGCAAGTCGTGTGCGAAGTATTCTGACGTTATCCGGAGCGACCCAAGGCTGAGAGGTCAAGCGAAGGTCGATGCGTTGAGGTTTGTGGAGGGATCGGACTACGTGACGAAGCACGCTGTCACTCGAAATTTGTCTGGACAGGTAAGTGGTCAATTCAATGTCGAAATTAAAGTCGATCGGACTCGCGACCATTCTCCTTGTTTTCTTCGCTTGTCATGTAGGTGCATAGCATCGGAGTGAGCCATGCGAAGCTATTGGGTGACACCGACAAATCATCGTCGACGTCTGCATCAGGGAGCAAGGCAACGCAAGCACCTCAGCAGCCACGCATCCACACAGCTATTCTAGTCCAAGCGGAGGACGCATACGGAAAGCTCTTCCACACTGCATATTTGATGGCAGTTCACGGCCAACCGTTGTCATCTTTCAAGACAATGGTGGAAATTCAGAAAGCAAACGGGGTGAAGCTCATCAAGGGCTGTGACTCATCGCATAAGGCAAGAGAATTCGTCCGTTTGTTGTCTGCCACTATGCAGAAGAAGATCGCAAGTATCATCTCTTCATCAACTGCATTTTCTGTGTTGAGCGATGGATCGCATGCCCGCAAAACCAGAAGCGAGAAGGAACTTGTGCTTGTTCGTGTTGTAAAGGAAGGCGAGCCGGTTTTCTTCACCCTAGCCCTGATGAATGTAGATGATTACGGCGATGCGACTGCGAACAATTTGAAGACAGCCATTGACGATTCATTTCGAGGTGAGTTGCACTAGTCACTGGCCTTCATGTCACTTATGAGTGCTGCACTGTGGAACGCAATCAGATACAAGTCATGTGTGTGTGCAATGACAACTATGTACTATTGTAGAGAGCACCATTGCAATCATGCATTATCATGTCAAAACATGTGCTTGAAATCCACTTCTAGTGAGTAAGTAGTTTAGAAGAGCCACGTGAAGTATATAGGTCAACTGGTTTACTGCCATAGTACTTCAAAGTAGAAACATGCAGGCCTATGTCCGTAGAATTCCTTACGTGTGCCTTAGCAAATGAGCATTGTGTTCTTCTGTTTGTTGCCTTCTGTGAAGGTTTACCTGCTGAGAAATACAAGAAATTGATGGTATGTGCAACAGCAGACGGTGCAGCAGTAAACACCGGAGCGTACAATGGCCTGCTGACACAACTGCGTAATGATGAACGGCCATGGCTGGTTACTATTTCCTGTACAATGCATCGTGTGGAACTCACTATCAAGGACAGCTTGATGAAGGAGAAGAAGTTCGTAGAGGTCGAGGACCTTATGGTCACCTTGTACTATCTCATGAAGAGGTCTGGAAAGTTCCAGCGACAGTTTCATGAAACTGCAGCGGCCCTGGATGTACAAGTGTACAAGTTTCCCAAGGTACACGGAACAAGGTGAGCTAGTGCAATTGTTTATTTAACATTCACAGCCTTTAATATAATATGAAAAGTACTACGAATTGAAAAATAAATCAATGGCAATTACAAATTGAGTGCTTTTCTGCATACATGTACATTCAGGATGAAGAACTTGACATGGTGTGAACATTATGTATCGAAACGTGTTGAATAATTTCCGTTTTTGCTTGGCATGATTATATTTCTTCCCTCCAGATTCGTCAACCATCAGCGAAAGGGTGTCTCTGTCCTGCTGCACAATTGGATTCCGCTAGCCATTGCAATTGAGAATGCCATCGCCAATGCCAGTAACCGAACACTCAATGCAACGCTGAAGGGCATTTTGAAGAAGATTCGCAGCGCAGCATTCCTTGCTACAGCCTGTATCTTCAAGTCCATCCTGTCGGTTGTAGCTGCACTGTCCCTGAAGCTGGAGAAGGATTTCATCATGCCGTTTAAAGTGGCCCCCGCCGTAGCCCTGGCACAGGCCGAACTAGAAGAATTGCTGCAGGACAACGAGTGCCATCTGGCCAAGCAAGGACTTACACTCACCGAGAGTACGGTTTCTGCGTCCCTCCCCAAGCCTGGGCACATGAAGCGAAACCCGGAGAACCGACAGTACACGGATGTGGAGTACACAAAAATGACTCATGCGGGACTAGTCGAAGGCACTGTAAAGGCCGTGAAGGATTCAACCCTGCCACCATCGTCTGAGTGTCTGCGACTTCGTTTTCAGTCATTCGACAGTGCTCCCTTTCCGGCAATGCTCTGGGTTGACCCAGCAAACTGGCAGGACATGGACAAGGAGCTCGACATGATGATGTCTCTCGCTGAGCGTTTCGCCGTGCCACTTCGTGAGAGCGGGTTCGATGCCACCAATCTGAAGGCAGAGTGGAAGGTTACGAAGCATACGGTAAAATACTTCTACCCTAGCGTCACATCACCAGCTAGCCTGTGGCAGCGACTGCTATCTTACAGGAGGAAGCAATTTCCGAATGTGTGTCTCCTTGTGGAAGTTGTGCTGGCCATTGGCGTCAGCAACGGTACCGTGGAGTCTTGCTTCAGCTACCTGACTGCCATGCTGACCGATCGCCGGGTCCCTCTCCTGCACACCACCATGTCTGACCTGCTAATCATCAGGGCGAACCATGCAACATGGTCAGATCATGAGCGGAATGAGATCATTTCTGCTGCTCTTGGTGAGTATATGTCTGGCAGGAGAAAGATGCAGCTTGAGCCACAGGCGCCAGATGACAGCGAAGAGCCAGCTCCGAAGCGGGCATTGGTCGCCTCAAGCTCATCAGGAGATTCTTCAACGTCATCATCGGAGAACGGGGGCGTGGGTGAGTCCGACTCCGAGGCAGCTCTGCATTGTTTGGAAGTCTCTTCCGCCGCTAGTTCCGACAGCAGATCGGACCTGCCACAGGTTCTGGGAAGCGGTAGCGGCAGTGACAATGATCTCCCCTGATTATCATTGAGTATGACTTTGCTCTTGTTCATTAGTCTTTTCTATATGTGCAATAGTGAATGTTCCTATTGATGGCTGTAGCCTGTTGTATATAAATTAAAGTATACTACTGCCAGACAATGCCCGCTACTTGGTGCAGTGTCACGTGGATGATCACTGACTGTCTTTCTTTGTACTCGTGTTGTGCTATGGAATCACTACGATGTAGTGCACTGCAGTTGGAAAGACAATAATCCATGGACGAATTTCTGATGCATCCAGAATTTTTTCTCGAAAAAACTGATATCAATGTGCTGTGTTGTTGGAGTGAGAATTTTGGATCACTCTCCTACAGCTCGCCTGACACAGGCGAGGAGAGCGATAGATCACTCGCCACCTATTTTCAAATCACAGGGTCTGAAGTCTACACCACCATTTCGACATGTTCAGCATGCACTCACTTTTTCAAGAAGGACGACAGGAATGTTCCAACGCTCTGGCGGGAGCAATCAAAGGCCTTCGATACCTGCAACTTCCTCTCCTCCTGCACAACCGTACAACAGCATCAAAACATAACGTTTGATATGTAGCTTCAACATTGGGATCGCCACTGGGCCTGAAAGTGCAACATCACAGCCAGGCCGAAGTCATGGCAAGGTTCGACATCAAAGCCAGGCCGAAGTCATGGCGAAGTTGAATTTTGGATCTAGTTTGAAGCAGTTTCCTATACAATTGTGTGGCACATGCACTGGTAGCAACTGGACTGGGCCATCCTGGTCTCACTTCTCGTACAGAAAAAGCCGAACCAGCATGTGATGTAAGATGCCTTATGTTACCCGTACATCCTAACTGGAAAGCATCCAAAGTGACCCAGAAAATATCTATTCACTTCTGACATTATCACTTTCGAGCCCTATTCCAAGAACCATGCTGCTGCCACACAGATGGGCAGTCAACCACTTTGATTCGAACACACGTATACCACCATGCATATACTGTTCAAAGTTATCATACTTGGTGACAAGCATCATGACCTTGCGATACAGTGACCAACACTGCCGTCAGCTTTGCACAATTGGTCGGATTTCAGTGAGCGCAACTGTAGTAGGTATACCCGTCAGCAAACATACCATAGCTGCACTGCCAGCGTACTCCTCTTCCATTGACGTCACTTCCTTCTTTTCGGTGGCAGCGCCGGCGACCGAGAGTGGCTTAGACACAGTTGATTCGACAAGCTGTAATACCAGTGCCGTGACCATCTGAATACGAATATCACCACTGAGCCTGCAGAGAACATATGCAAAAAGATAATAAACTAGAAATTCCAGCTTCAGCCTGTACAGGGTTTTCCATATGCCAGCTACGAAGAATTATTACTACAAGTAGCTGGAAAAAGCAGTTGACCAAACTCAGCAGATCTGCATCCAAAGAGAGTTGTTGGTCATGATTTAGCTCATGCTGCTGAGGTGAGTGAACACTGGGCTCCTAGTTGTAAGCAGACCAAACAGACAATTGCAAACAACGATACTAGTCTGCAAAGAACAAAAACATACCGGTAGCTTCTCAAACTTTGCTTGCTGGACGGCAAGCGCGACAGCGATTCAAATATATCAGAGAAAATAACTTGCTGGTGCTGAGTGTACCGGGAGAAGATCTGTGCAGAAACACAAGACAGTGAGCCAAGGTCAGCAAGCCAGCTGATAGTACTGCCGGGCGCCTAAGAACGAACAGGCCAAGATTTCACCAAGCACAGCATACCGATACACACACGGTGACTCAACTGTGCATAGATCGTAGTAAATGAAAATAAGAACGCCTAGGCTAGAAGGTTGACCACCCAGATACTTGGCACCCAACAGTACTGCATGACATGGCAACAGAACGGGAAAACGATACAACGAATGAACCCTTAGCCCACTACGGGGCCACGGTGCAGCTTAACCGGTGATGAATCAGCTGATCAATAAGCTCCTGCTGTAAGCAACACAACGGAGTGAGTGAGTGTGTGCGTGTGTGTGTGTGTCTCAGTATTACTTACGGAACGGATTACATGAAGAGCGCTGAGCTGCAGAGTGCTGACATTCTCCACAAAAAAAGTAGAAATTGCCATAGACGACACCTGCATATCAAATTACAAGCCACAGCAACAATTGATCAGATAGACAGAGTTAGAACAATGACACAACAACTGAAAGCAAGAAGCTCGGGCTACATAGGCAAGCAAAGTCTTGGCAACTCAAATATGCAAAATCAATAATTCACTTTCATGACAGTGTAAAAAGTTGCACATAGATAATGCAACTATTGGTTGTGTGCGTGTTGATATTCGGTACGAACGGCATGCATTACACACAGCTTAGAAAGTCATAGAGACAATGCAGATTCAGTATTTGTTCGGCATACCAGCACAATCAATGCGTCTGGCAACTTGTGGACTTCAATGAACTGAGCAAGGCACGTAAGTAGTTCGCAGATCTTGTTGTACAGTGGGATGATGTCCTTGTGAGGGTCAGCATTGGCACGTCCACGCTTCATCTTGGATACAACAACGCCCTCTGTACAAACCAAAACCAGCAGATTGAAATACCAAATGAAAAGGGAGCGCTTTTCAAATACCCTCAAAACCATTATACACTCACATTATCTTGGATACACTAGCAACGTTCTCTGTTAAACATGATAGTGTATGATAGTGCTACATGCCAAAACCTTTTGATCAAAGCACTCTGTTTCGGCACACATACCTTTCTTGTGGCCGGAGAGTTGATAATAGTTATCAAACTCAGGAAAAACAGTAGCAGTCAGATGATGTCCAATCATCTGCACCAGACGCTCAATGTGTTCTTCTTGATAGACATTACTGGTCACACCTGGTGAAGTGCTGATGTGCAGCATGACCAGGGCAGCATCCAGGCCACGCTGCAGTCGGTCCTTCGCCAGTGCACGCCACTGCGCAGGCTCTCCATCACAATCATCCTAGAGAAGCCAGTCAGTCAAATGATCACATACAGCTACATCAAGTAAGTTTGGACCTGCAAGTTGACCTCCGTAGCCAAATGCAATGCCATTCTGGATTACTGTTCAAAATTGTCTAGCTCTATCGCCCCTAGTCTTGCACTCTACGCTTACAAAGCTATATCACAATACTGCAGTAGTACACTGGTGCTCTGAACTGATTACGTTCTAAAACAAAAGATTTATCACCATCAATGACAGAAACAATACTGTAAGGGAAAACACAATAATACAGCACAAAAGAGTTGCTACAGTCCATTTCAAAACTATAGACGCGTACCTAGGCAAAAACCGTTATGCCAGCATCTATACCACATAAAATCTGTGATCACTTTGTGCATAATTTTTTCCAAATTGGGCGTCTGTTATCCAGTCGTTTAGAAACTATATGAGAGTAATTGTGGAGCGGACCTGAGCAATATTCCGAAAACTATTCTCAAAAAGGTCCAGCCAAATTTGAAATATTTCAAAAACCCTACGCGTCTATAGTTTGGAAATGGACTGTAGGATTTTAATTTCGTCAGGTACCCAGAGCTACACATAGTTTCTAACTAAAGCAGCATGCACTTGCAGATTGTTCTGTAAAAAGTAAAGTAAAGCTCTGTAGTTGGCAGGAAGTTCCACTATCGTTTATCATCCCAACAAAATACAATTCCAAACAAATTTTCCCAAATCACTAACGAATAGTCTTCATACAGTACTTCGAGGTACCAGTTTGGCAAAAGAAGGGTTCATGGGCAGGATTCGAACCCAGCACCCCTGTCTTCCCGCAACAGCGCCTACTAATTAGTTAATGGATCACACACCGGTGGTCCCTTTTCGGAAAGGGGTCTTGCCCGCACTTACAGGAACGGAATCCAATTGCAACGTCAGACAGTCTAACACGTGCTTGTCCATAACACATAATAGACGAGCTAGTTCATCAACAGGGTGCTAAGCAAAAAAAGGAGACAAAAAAGGAGACAAAACAAAAATATGTACATATGTTGCAGCGAAGTACTGCCATCATGTCTTGAACAAGACGTAAACATTCATTACATAACGTGTACACGTACGGTAGAAAGCAGTTACGAGTATATCAATGATCTGGGATTTTAAAACTGCAACAAAAGCAACAGGATGCCCTTGAATACCATCTGCAATTACAACATGCAACGGCAAAGGTAAACTGCGGCCACCCCATACCTCTGACAACTCGGAATTCGCACCAAGTTTGCGGACTTTGGATCCAATCTGTGTTACAAAGGGACCTGGTAGCAGAAGCTGAGGAGAAATGGCTCCATCTGCATACAACCCAACAGAAACAAATATCAAGAAACGGTAACATTGTACAGATACGAGTTTTTGACCTAATCACCTCCACGCCAGCAGGCATGGTGCAAAAATATGCAGTGGCTGGCTAGACTGTTGTTTATCCCACGCTAAATCGACTGTCTATACATTCTCTGGAACAGAGACATTGCAAAAGCCATCCAAAGTCTGTTGTGCCTGCTCTGATTTCCACAAGTGACAGCTTGGATAACTGCTACAAAATACTTTACAGAAATGAATCACTCGGCGCAGTGCAAAGAGATGCCGGGGTGCTCAATCTCACGCGTACAAGCACCATGCTTGCCACTCTTCTACTTACTATGCCCTGTGTTTCAAGTAACTTATAACAGAGAAAGGGATACCACAATGACAATGGTCAATGAATAAGCACATGCCTACAAGGCCGAAAATTGGTTCCACTCCCGGTTTTCATATCACTAAATTCGAAAATACATACTCATATACAGGCGAAAGAAAGTAACTATATTGAAGTATATTCAGCTTCCTCACCAGCAATATTCGAAACTTCCACAAGTATGTTCATCACCCCCTCAGGTGCACATAGGCTGAGAAGAAACTGCCCTAATTATATACAGGCATTCATAATAATCTAAGGGCCGGGTTCCACTGCGGCTCCGCGGCACTTGGCTGCATGCAGAGGAGCAGCGCAGTACCACTGACACTCGCCATTCGCAGTACCGCGGCCGTACTCCACGTTTTTTGATGATGTTTTAGCTGCCTGCGTGCGCGCGCGCGCGCGCGCGCGCGCGAAATAAAAAAATCCTTGTGTTCTGGCCTGCACAACGAATTAAAATTTGAATTTTAAAATTCTCGCGTACATGTACAAAACAATGCAAAGTACGGGAAACAGATCGAGCCGCGACTGCGGCTCACAGTTTTTGATCAAGGATCGTAGCGAAAGCTCGCGGTGAGCCGCGGCCTCGCTGCTCCAGCTCGAGCCGCGGTCACTATGGTAATGATGACGTTTCAAGCCGCGAAAGACGAGCAGCGGAGCCGCAGTGGAACCCGGCCCTAATACACATACATGTACAATGTACTTTTCAGTTTGACACCTTGTGATAAGGATCTACATGATGACCGGGAACTTACCTGCAGAACCAGTGACTGATAACAAGTTGTGCCGATCAGCATGCTCAAATACATCTTCAAGAACAGCGGTAAAACCAGTGTTTGGGCCAGACGATAGTTCTGCATACATAAACAAAACACAAAGAGGGCAGAAAATAGAACATTTAGAGAACCAAAGTGTGCATGGCGTTTGGACACCTGACAAGCTACTTCTATTATATTAAAAAGTAGATAAAATGTGCTTGCCTAAAAAAAGGGCAACTGCTACCAATCCTTGAAGTACGTATAGTTTCCAGAGCCAGGTAACGGCAGGGATGCACAAAGCATACATGTACTAGTAAGAAAGGAAATCCTTTTCCCTGTTGGCAAAATAATTACCAGAACTAAAGAGAATAAAGTTGATTGTTCCAACTTCTAAGTTCGTAAAGAGAATAAGTTCAGTGTTAAAATACATCATCATAGAGACAGACTTACCATGGTGAACGATAGCATTGTGTTTGCGCTTTGACTTTTGCTTCGGCTTACTTGCAAAATCTGAATGGAAGAGTCACAATAGACCAGAAACATGTCAGAAAGCCTGCAGAGATACAAACAATAAAATGAGAACTAGAGCCAGGAAGTCATGAACACAGACAAGATTCTGTACAAACGTGCAGGGACGAATGCTGTAAATATCATCACGTTCTCCAAAACCAAATGAATCTTTGCCATCAGCAGGTACATGTATCTATAAACTGCATCCACTATCTGGTCAGCTCCACAAAAAGAATTCAGTAAACTCAAGTCCAATGATAAGAATTAGGTACAACTAACCTGATGATGTAGAACTTGTGCTGTCACTAGATTTACTTCGGCTTGCCTTCCTTTGTGGTGGTTGAGATACAGTGCTTGCTTCCACATGCCGAGTCTCGGCATGATTGGCAATATTCGTTGCAACTTTTGTCAACACCACGGTTGGTTGCTGCAACTTCATGGTTGGTTGCTGCAACTGCACGGTTGGTTGCTGCAACGTCACGGCTGAAGCAGCAGCAGCTGGAACAGCAGCACTAGGTGCTGCTGCATGTGGCTGTTCGCTTGATACACTCTGCTTCCGTTTCTTCTTCTTCTTCGAGGCGCCATCTTGAGCTGGTACAGCAGCAGCGGCGACGGAAGGTGCCGAGGTAGCGGCAACAGAAGGTGCAGAGGCAGCCGGTACAGTTGCAGCAGAAAGCGAGGACTCCGCGTGTCGCCGCTTGTGGCTTTTTGAGCCACGGACACCAGGTGCAGCTGCAGCTTGCATTACTGTCCGACCTTCGTGATCTGTTACACATTGCTGGCCTTGAAAGGACGATTCACTTGTTAGCGTTTGATCTAGAAGCAAGAAATGAAATGAACAAATAGGCAAAACTGTCCCTTTCCTAAAAGTGACATGAAACGCAAGAACCGAGGTCTGCATGGGCAACACACTTCCAATACAAAATGTGTGGAGCCGTCAACATTTTCTCAAAAACACCACTATGGCCAGGGAAGTGCAAGACACAACCCATTGCCGCTGCATGAACAATGCAGATGCTCAGTCACCTATCCATGCTCAGTCCTCATTCATGATGCGAGCTCTGGACAAGGACCGCTGCCTTCTGAGGTTTGTTTTCATTTACGCACCATCCACCATAATAATCTAAAACAAAGAAGTTTCCGCTCGACCAATACTGTAAAGTGAGAAACTTTCGCTAGAGATTACATTTCGCTATTTTCGCGACCATCACACATTCGCGAATATAAACTGCCGGAAACTGCTATGTGCATTGATTGTATACAGCACCAGATCCAACTGAAGAGATAAAATCGCGAAGGTTTCTCATCGTGAACCAGCCCAATTCATGAAAACGCTAAATTTGCGCGCCGCGAAAGTTTATCGCTTTACAGTAAACAAACTTTGCGAAATAGTTTTCTACGAGACAAAAATGAAAACAGATTAAAGACAAGAACAAGTTTCAGGCTCCTCACAAGCAACATTTCAAAATGTCAACAACTCGCTGGTTTTGTCTATTGGCTGTCTAGTGTTGCCGCAATGCATTGCACGCATTTAGATTTCTTCACACTAGCACAGTTTCGTCATTTTTCTATGTGTATGAGGTTAAAATGAGGTACATTTATCAGAAGCAAATTATCACACACAGGTACATACACATGCACAGGTTCAAAGCTACACCTTACTTCCCAGCCCAGTGCAATAGGCTACACCTTACCCATCAAGCCAAACTCAAGCATCTGTGTCTTCCGCAAAAATCATTGCGCTGACCATTCATGCACCACTTTCCCACCAGGTACTCTGTTGAGGATAATCTCCTAATGAGTACGAAGAAGCACAACACCCTGAGTAGAGACATGCTGATTTTCTTCCACTGGACCTTGTATGTGTGTGTGTGTGTGTGTGTGTGTGTGTGTGTGTGTGTGTGTGTGTGTGTGTGTGTGTGTGTGTGTGTGAGTGTGTGTGTGTGTGTGTGTGTGTGGGTGCACATCCAGTGCATTTGCAGATTTGCGTGCTTCTCTTGCGACGGGCGTATACATGGTGGTGGTGGTGGTGTGTGTGTGTGTGTGTGTGTGTGTGTGTGTGTGTGTATGTGTGTCACTAGCACCATTGATTACACAAGAGTTAATCTAGCCAGAAGCAGTCCATGGTTAACAGGTATGTACACTTCAAATAGAAAGTATACGAACCCTGAAACCAACAAAGGTGGCAGATACAACAATACACCTTCAAGCTTCGAGCAGTTGGATCCCAGGACGGATACTCTGATGCCGTCAATCCTTTTTCTGCACCTTGTCCTCACCCACTTACTGAGGTGTGGTGAGCCCATAAGTGGGATCATTTTCAAGTCCACCCAGAGTTTTGGGGATTTCAGGGGGTGTCGGCCGTTGGGCGGTTCAATAGCCAGTTGAGTCATCTTTCCAAGATTCCTTTTGAGTCTCTCTCCCCTCTCCCGGAGAGACCCACGTGACCAGTTTTGGCAGTGAGCAACAAGTATGTGTGTGCGTGTGTGTGTGTGTGTGGAAAAGCTCTGAAGGGGTGACCAGTCAGCACCAGCATTGAGTACTCTGACTTGTTATCAAGGTTACTCTATGCATGAGGTTACACATATTACCGTGTTGTTTCCGACTACTCTTCTTTGCGCTGCTTCTATCATTTCTCTGCTGTATAAATTCATTATTCTCGCTCAGTTTCCTTTTGCCTGTATTCTACCTGATGAGAAGGCATTGAAAGTATTCGTGGAAATTTTAAAATGTTGCTTGTGAGGAGCCTGAATCTTGATCTTTTCTTAGTCTGATCAAATTGCTACATGCCGTACATTTTCTTCTTAGCTGCATACCGGTATATCAAACTACTCCATTGCTCACCTGGCGTTAGTGTTCCTGGTGGAGGTTGAGTGCACGAGCTGAAGCACTGGGGATGATTACGCACAAGGTCTTGCACAAATGCCGGTGGAAGTGTGCCAGGTGGTGTCGGCGGGTGCTTCAGATTCCTACAGAGGGAAGCAATACAATACCAAGGCGAGCTTAACACGTTTGCAAAGTTAACCGTTGCGAATCGAAACAGGCCCTTAACTAAGATGTGCCTTGCCTTCCTTTTAGTGTATTGCAATGTGCACAAATTGCTTGTTTGGAGAAGTAGCGTTTCTCCGCGCTCTCCTTTGGGAGAGCGAACAGTTTTATCAAATGGAGTGAAGGAGGGAATGGAGTGAGGGATGAGAGCGCACGGACGGCCAGTGTTGAGTCGCCACTGGCAGCTGTTCGGCTGGTTAAGTCACCCGGAGCTCCGTCAACGCGAGCATGGAGCTGATGTGAGCGCGTGGCCGAGGTTGAGCTGACTGGTTGGCGGCGGCTAGCCGAGCTCGACGACGTGCACGGCCTCAATAACGGAACTGCCACCCCAACACCAGCAACGCAACGGCCGCTGAATGTTGAAGTTTGCCTTGTTCGCCCTGCCAATGTGTCATGCAAGTAATGTATTTTTCTGAACGTTCGAACCTTTTTTCAAATTGTCTGTGCATGTGCAAATGGTTTACCCATGTTGTTTAGTTTTCGACTATGTGGTTCTCGGCTGTAGTTTATAAGTAGAATTGTACTATCATAATACAGTATACTCGTGTTATGTCGCTTTGCCACTATGTACCGTCAGCTGTCATGATTCTTGTATTCATCCGTTTCCAGTTTTATTTGTTGAAGTAGATAGTTGACATGTCGGGTGGTTTTAGGACAATATTACATGTATATTCCTTTTGCCTAATCTGCAAGTTGCATGCGTGTGTTCACCTCATTGGCCTCGCTCGTTCCTCATTTCTTTTTTTTCATTTGGCTTATGCGAAGACTAGCCAAGCTTGCTTGGTGATGTCAACGAGGACAAGCGTATAATAAATGTGAACATTTGATATTATTATATGAAGTAGACTGCAGGAATTCGCATAGTTAGCTCTAAACATGTTATAAAACTCTATAGTCGATCTTGACTTGCATGACTGAGGAGTGCACACATTGCATACCACAAAAGGGAGGTTTGTCACGCATAATCCGTAAGTACTTTGCCGGTGTGTGTACCACTTGATACTCAGTGACACGCGAACACATGTGATACGTATTCTGACTGGTGGGATACTGTGTGTGTGGCAGCGTGATCACACTGAACCAAAAATGTGGGTTAAATTCACAGGGAAGCACGTTATGCGAGGTGTGAGTATGCTCTGCTGACAGCATGGCTCCCCTCGAAGTGCCGTCTTCTTTTTCCTTTCATGCTTGCTGCATTACTTTCACTTTCCGGCTTTCCGACCACATTCAAGGTGAGGGATCACAGAAAGCACTGCGTGTGATAACTCGTCACGACAAACATGGCTGATCAGGACAAATCCGAGGGCAGCCAACCCGCACCTGGATAAAAAAATATATACCCAGGGCAGACTTATACAGTTGAACATCGATTATCCGCATATCGACTATCCGACCATTCGATTATCCGTAACAGTTTTTTTGGGCGCACGTGCCGTAGAGTACGCACTGTGCATGTAGTGAGCCATTCAAAAAAATACGAAAATTTTGAAAAGTAAAAAGGTCGTACATGTACATGTTTCTTATCCGGAACATTTGCCTTATCTGAACACCGCCTGACAGTTGTCTGCCCAGAGGTGGTCGGATAATCGATGTTCAACTGTACGTAGACTCTGGGCAATGCCGTACAATGTATTATGGCGGCATTCGTGTTCCATTGCTAAAGAACTTGAGACCTTTGCATATCGACTTTGTTTCGTTCTTGATGCATTTTTTCCAACTGACTGATACCAGGTGTGGTGTACTGGGGTTGTCCATGACACGAGACGTGCATCACAGTTTGGTACCAACAAAATTAAGTAGAGCAGCTGTTAACATGTAATTTTGAAAATGGTATCCAGAGTGCACGATGGCCAAGGAAGACCCAAGAGTTCGTTAAGTCAATGTCAAATTCTGCTGGTGTGCAGTACATGTACAGCAGAGTGACTCCATCATGAATAATGCACGATCAATCACACGTTTACGTACACAAAATCAGAAGAGACACCTGAAAGGGCATTTGCCACTGCCGCCATCATTCTGGCATCTGACTGCTGAAGGCACGAGCCATCGACTGGTGGGAAAGTAACAGCATTGTCGGATGCTTTAGCTGCGAGTCCAGTCAGTGGAAACGGTACGCCAGTAGTCACTGGGAAGAGGCACACATCCACAGAAAACGTGTTTCTCAACATAAAATATCTCGACCGACAAAAATCATCCAGACGATGTCTCCACTTACAAGGGTGAAGGCTGACTAGGCCTGGCAAGACCCGCACAGCAGCGACTGGCTGGCTGGCCGCGTCCATTTAGCAAGAAGATCAGCATCTAGTACAAGGAGAACAAGGATAACGACGAAACGAAGGCGACTCGGGCAAAGGCTTCGGGGCTTGAAGTTCAAATTTTGACAAGTAATTTGCAAATCTGGATTTCGAGGCAGCGACACACCACAGCCGGCCCGCACGGACACAGCGGGACGCATATCAGGATGAACACAGTCCAGTCAACCATGTCAACAGGTCCAGCACTTGTCTGCTCACTGGCGCGCTTTTTTTGTTTCGCCTTCTTTCTTCCCTCAATTTACGCGTATTCTGACGTCATCATGACACTTCATCGCCGGCCTGTTCATGGCAACAAGCAGGGAGTCGTCAAATCCCTGGTTTCAAGAGTACTGTAGTGTAAAAGCCATTACAGTTGAACATCGATTATCCGACCACCTCTGGGCAGACAACTGTCAGGCGGTGTTCAGATAAGGCAAATGTTCCGGATAAGAAAAAAACTGTCACTCACACACTTTCAGTGGTTATTACTAGCCGCACGACCTTTTTACTTTTTACTTTTCAAAATTTTCGCATTTTTTGAAGTAGACAATCATAGAGGTCTGGCAGGACTTTACGGCTGAATCAAGGCCGAGTGCGTACGGCCAAGGGCGCAGGCCAAGGCGCGTAGCGCCGAGGCCTGCGCCCGCGGCCGTACGCACGAGGCCTTGATGAAGGCGAAAAGTCCTGCCAGACCTCTATGATGGTGTTTCAGGTTTCGTCTTTCGCCTTTCTGGTATAAAAGCAAGACACGTATAGGGGTGGTGGTCGGGGACGTGGTGGATTCAGCTTGTGAGTTTCAGCTCCTTCAGCTTGTGAGTTTCAGCTCCTTCAGCTTGTGAGTTTCAGCTCCTTCAGCTTGTGAGTTTCAGCTCCGTCCGCTTCTCATGGATGGGATGACCCAAAATTATCAGAAAAGTTCGTCAACTCCTTTTTTTAGTACATGTAGAACAGAAAGTGGAAAACTGATCGCGATGTGTGCCACTTATTTCAGCTTGCTTCTAAGCAGATAGATAGGTGCATGCTCTTTCGCTTATTCACAACTATCGTAAAATTTCCTCTCCACTCACGACAACAAGAACTTGAGTTGAAAACTGACCACGATGTGTAGACACTTTTCATGTTGCCGTTTTTGGACAGGCTGTTTCCAGGTACCACAGCACGTTCACAGTCGAATGTGAGATGCGAACTGAGCTGACAACGAAAAACTGCCACAGACCCCTGCAGAGCTAGACTGACAGAGTACGGGGTGCCATTGACGACGGGCTTTATTGCTACCGTATTTTTCCGTATCCATTGACCACGGGCTTTATCGGCTCATCAAGGCCACCGCGGGAACGTCGCTCATTGGCTACAACCATAGAAACGGTACGGTAAAAACCTGAATGGCTCACTACATGCACAGTGCGTACTCTACGGCACGTGCGCCCAAAAAAACTGTTACGGATAATCGAATGGTCGGATAGTCGATGTGCGGATAATCGATGTTCAACTGTATTCTATTAAACGTGGCGCATATAATTATAACGATTTCCTAAAATTGACTGTTTTATGTGTACCAAAGGTAACGATTCTCACTCATTCTCAACGCTCAATAGCAACAGTATTGTACCGATTTCTGTCTAACGATTTCTATTTTAACGAAAGATTTCTCCTCGTTTTAACTCGTTAGAGTTAGCACTTTGTTATAAATATGGCTTTTACAGTATAATAACTCTTATAATTATAACTCAGAGCCAACCTATGCATTCACTCTTCCCGGATCCCTCACAGACCTCACAGTGGTAAAACAACACAAACATCTTGGTTTGGTCATTGACTCAGACTTATCGTTTAGTAGACATGTCGACTATATCTGTAGCAAAGTCAGTAAAGCTGTTGGCTACCTCGTGTCTCACTGCTCCCACCTACCCCTTGAATGCATTCGCTTTTTTTATCATTGCTATATTCTCCCCATTTTTCTCTATTGCTCAACCGCCTGGTCATCCCTACTAAGTATATCGTTAATGAGTACCCTGGAAGTCCACAATAAGAGAATACTCAAAGTCCTTTTCCGCAAACCATACTTTCCTTCTGCCGAGCTGTATGATATGTTTTAACACCTTCCCTATCTCTAGTAAAGCGGATCGAAAACTGTGTATTGTTGTTCATTCTATTCGTCTTGACAAAGCCCCTGTACACTTGCGTAAATATAACTGGTGTCTTCCCACTCGTCCTACGCGCAATCCCTGCACTTTACCTAAAGCCCGAACCTCAGCTTATACCAGATCTCCGTTTTTCGCTGCCTATTCTCTCTGGCTGGCCCTGCCTCTATCAGTAAAATCGTCTTTTACGCTAACGGATTTCAAGGCCAACATGAAGCTCGTGTTCTAATAACTGCTAATTCTTCATCCAGATTTGTTTCTCTTTGCCTCCAGTAATGTGTAATATTTATTTATTTTTGCTTTGTTTTGTTTACTGCCATGGCTGGCTACCGCCCCCCTCCCTCCATATTGGCCTATATTCTCTGGCCACGGGAAGGTGAAATAAAAAAAATACTCTTGGTAGTTTAGAGTACACGACGTGTACATACATGTATGTACAATTACAAGAAGAAGTAACAAATGAGGATGTTGAACTGAAGACCCGTGAAGAGTCTCTCCACCGGGAACAACACTCAACGCAAACCGTGCTCAGCAGGACTGAAAGACAGAGAAAGAGAGAGAGAGAGAGAGAGAGAGAGAGATAGATAGAGAGAGAGAGAGAGAAAGAGAGAGAGAGAGAGAGAGAGAGAGAGAGAGAGAGAGAGAGAGAGAGAGAGAGAGAGAGAGAGAGAGAGAGAGAAGATAGAGAGAGAGAGAGAGAGTCCTAGGCTTCCAACTTCTGTATCAACTTTCCTTTTCAGGTAAACAATTTTCCGCTGCTGGACGGACGGCAAGTGGGCTCATCCGGCAGTAGACTGAAGTTCAGATACCAGTCGGTGGTGCCGTGGAAGGGCCAAGGCCACAACGAAACATCTCACATGTAAATGGTTCAGTGTTCTCAATCCGCCACACATAGTCACGCTGTATGCATACTGCGGCGGCTAGGACGTCACGAGTTTTGGCCAACGTTAAAAAAATTAATAATTATGAATAGAGACTGCCTAATGATGATGAGTAGTACTAGTACTAAGTTACAGCAAACTTGGTTATGGATTACATCCATGTTGTGATGGAGTATGTATATGTACGTGATTCCACTGAATATGATGCAAGACTTTTGGAGAATCATTGCGGCATAGATAAACCCCAGGCACATAATTATGTTCCGTCCATACCAGTATGCCACTAACTTAGCTGTATTTGCACAATGAACTGAGTTTTACTCTGCGGCTACATCAACCTACATGTACATGTATTATAACTATTTCAATTCTTTCAATATGTTCGCAAGGGTGAAGCAAGAGCGGTAGTTTCAACTATATTGCATGTTCATTTGAAGCCGGGCAAGCATAGTCGTGGAAAGCCTAACGCCATAAGGGGATACCACGCTCCAGTCCTGCTTGGTAATGGACATTATTGATAAAAATCGCCATCTTACCTCATGAACTAAATATTGCGACAGAGCTTTCGGCCATATTTTCAATTCATTGCATTCCCAACTCATCACAACCACGCGCTCTTCAGCCGAACCATACAGACACCAGCAAGGACACTTCCGTTGAGAGATAATATTGCTCCACGCCTCTAGACAGCTGTTTCGCTCCCTGTCGGAGCTCATCAGTAGAGGATGATAATGATGATAATGGAGGAATGATCATTCTTATACACCAGAAATGGCGCAAGTGCGCGCTTTCCACATATATCAATGGCATATGCAAGCTGCTAAAATGGTAAAGTGTGAGAACAGCGATAAATAATCATAGTACGCGCTCATTGGTGGAGAAACACACCACACAAGCGACGAAAATCTTACTCGGAATACTGATGCCAATAGAAAGTACATGTATGTTGTTTATTATTATGATGTTGCAATGTCCATGTATGCAGGCGAGGCGAGACTCACCGCCGAGATCCCCCAACGCGACAGGCTCGGTTGCCGTTCAGGATTCACACCGACCTGTCCGCCCGTCAACAGGATCGACAGCGGGAGGCCCCACTGATGCCGATGTCGATGCACACCAGGAAACTTGTAGTCGTGAGTGTGATACTAACAGGTCTAGTAGCAACCACTGACAAACGAGAGGCCAGCTGGGGCATTCACTCCAGTCAGGGATGCTTGGTCGACGCTTCGTATCAGCAGCTCAGCTCAGTTTGATCAAAGATGTTGCAGATGTGTCTTGCTTTTCTCCTTCCTTCTTCACCGACTCGTCTTGTCATCTCTCCTTCTTTCTTCACCGACTCTTCGTGTCCACTCTGCTCTGCCACTAACGGCGCATTAAAACTTCAGAACTAAATATTGCGACAGAGCTTTCGGCCATATTTTCAATTCATTGCATTCCCAACTCATCACAACCACGCGCTCTTCAGCCGAACCATACAGACACCAGCAAGGACACTTCCGTTGAGAGATAATATTGCTCCACGCCTCTAGACAGCTGTTTCGCTCCCTGTCGGAGCTCATCAGTAGAGGATGATAATGATGATAATGGAGGAATGATCATTCTTATACACCAGAAATGGCGCAAGTGCGCGCTGCATACATGGACATTGCAACATCATAATAATAAACAACATACATGTACTTTCTATTGGCATCAGTATTCCGAGTAAGATTTTCGTCGCTTGTGTGGTGTGTTTCTCCACCAATGAGCGCGTACTATGATTATTTATCGCTGTTCTCACACTTTACCATTTTAGCAGCTTGCATATGCCATTGATATATGTGGAAAGCGCGCACTTGCGCCATTTCTGGTGTATAAGAATGATCATTCCTCCATTATCATCATTATCATCCTCTACTGATGAGCTCCGACAGGGAGCGAAACAGCTGTCTAGAGGCGTGGAGCAACATTATCTCTCAACGGAAGTGTCCTTGCTGGTGTCTGTATGGTTCGGCTGAAGAGCGCGTGGTTGTGATGAGTTGGGAATGCAATGAATCTTACCTCATGTATACATGTAATAATCAGTACTTGTTGCTAGGGTAGTAATGAAAACAACTTGGGTGGACGCACCCATTCTCACAACACTGGAAACCTGAACCAGTTCCACTTTTGGTGAAAAAGGGGAAGGACAAAATGTTACGAGTTATGATTAACTGTCCACCAACGTAACCAGATCTTATACAGTCAGCGAGTGCGACAAAATGGCACAAAACTGACAAGGACTTCCCCTCTTGGACCTTTCTGAACCTGAGCCTTCCAAGTTGGAAGGTTGTTGGTTTGCACCTTGGAGAAGTGTTGGAGCTAGGTGTCAGGTCGCCGAATGTCTCAGTACTCCTTGTCAGTTTTGTGCCATTTTGTCGCACTCGCTGACTGTATAAGATCTGGTTACCTTGGTGGACAGTTAGTCATAGCTCGTAACATTTTGTCCTTCTCCTTCACCATAGTTCCACTTTTTTTTTTAAATATGTCGGCACTTGGACATCGTCAGGTAAACAAAATGATAATTCACATACATGTAACGTTACATGCATTTTTGGCCGGCACCCTTGCTTAGCAGTGTATTGGCACGCTAGCCTACCTACCATATTTATCTGGGTGCGGCCTGTACATGTACCAGCTTATGCTTGTTGTGGCACTCGCGGGTGGCAATTCTCAATGCATGAGAACTCAACAGCACATCATTCATGATATAAGACTTTCATGTGCATGCATCTGCGGCTCCAAACTAGAATGGGGCGAAATGTTGGTCCGACAACTACATGTACTTGTCCTGCCGAACTGTCAGCAATGGTCCCGGACGTTGACAACATAATCAATGATCATCAAAATATTATCGCGCTATCGAGCAGTGCTCAAGCTGGCTTTTCATGCTGTGGAATGTCTCAGTACTCCTTGTCAGTTTTGTGCTAGATTCACGGTGCACATCTGACTGTTCAAAATTCTGGTTTAGTTGGTGGACTTGATTGGATAACTTGTGCCCACAGTTTTCCATGTTACAATGATCAAAACAGGGCGGTTTCTTTCGTCTGCTTGCTTTTGATGGTTGTGTCGCGGCTCCACTTCACAATTTGCTACTGTCACAGTGTTGTCAGTCAAGACTCAAGATACTGCCTTCTCATCATGTATACAAAATAATAGAAAAGCTGACAGAATCGCTTTTCTAAATGATTATGTTCTCACTCACCGGGGCATGTAGAGCTTTTTCGTTGCATCAGCTACTGCTGACTGAACCCTTCTGACAGTGACTTCCACGAACCTGCCAGAAGGCCGGTAGCTTGGTATTCAGACATAGCCTGAATGTGCAGGCATCAGAATAATCCGTCATGCCTTGACATCAATATCAGGCCACGGTGATCATTGATACGGGTAACACTTCCTTTGGAATGATAATATACCGGTATGCCTGTAAAAACTCATTGCTGACATAGGTATAAGATCCTCACTTCCGCTCTGATGAAAATAATGACCAGCGACTTCTTCTTCTTCTTCGGTTCGATGAACCGAGCAAATGAACCTTGACCCCGGAGTTTGGCTACTAGTATGTCCTAACTCCTATGTCGACCTCCGGCCTGGCCATGGCCATGGCCCTGGGGTCATCACGACATCAGGTCATAGACTACAGCAAGGAGTCGTAAAATACCGGTATTTTACGACTCCCTGGGGTATGGTGCATGCACGCGCGCGATGCGTCTACGCATGAAGTCGTAGTCGGAGTCGTTTTTTTACGACGGTAAATCCTAGCATTTTTCTCTGTTTATTCTTTTTACCAGGCGTGGGCCATCCCCGCCCCCCTGGACTATATCAAAATGGGTGCCTAAGGGCATGTTCGATTGGTAGGATCGGGATCCCGATCCACCGGATCCACTGGATTCGCACCCTTTCGATTGGTCGAATCCGGATCCGGATCCTTCGGATTTGGATCCGGTCAACCCACCTCGGGGGGATCGGGGAGCAGGGTTGACCGGATCCAACGGATCCAAATGTGACCTTTGTGCGTATATGGCGGGTAAAAATCATTTTTGTACACATTGTGGTACGCACACGTGGATAGAGCTTGTTGACTTTTTGTACGACGCACGCGATGAGTACGACATTCACCCTTTTGGGTGCCTTGTGAGCGCCATTTTCAACATGGCAACAGTCAAGGTCCAAGATAAAGTGTTCAGTTGAATCTGAAGGATCCGAGGGATCTGAGATCTCGATCCCGATCCCGATCCTTACCAATCGAACATGCCCTTATTATTTACCTGTAAAAAAAAAAAAAAAAGATTATTATGAAAAATCACACCATTATACATGTGTTGTAGTAAATGACCGTGGCATACAACTCTGTTGAAAAAAAAAAAAAAAAAAGTAAATCCTAGCATGACTACACAAGTACAAGTACAATCATGTACATGTACACACTACATGTACATGACTGGCATGCCATGAGTCACCAGACGCATCATTCGAGAGTCGAGACTCCGTCGATCTGGTCGATAGGAGAGAAACTTTTTGTTTCCCTTGACTGTTTTTGGGAGGTGGAAAGAGGATGTTGTGAGTTTCATGCCACCCTGTTCAGCTTTGCAAGGAAGTCTAGCATGTGAAATATGCGTTGCGAGCAAGTAATCACTGGTGCCGTGAACAATGGCAGCTGTGTCGTTACAACGGGACAAATTGGAGAGCTGAGCTTCATTGTATGTCCCTGAAAATTGGATTTCTTGAGAAATTCGTCAGAATAGTATTGAGTGTTTATATTTTCATTGTTTCTTTTAGGCATATGCGTCTGGATCTGCAGTGGTGATCCTAACCCCTGAACTTGGATTTATTCAAAAGATAGAAGGAGAATCTCTTGGGTTTGGCTCTCAACCAGCATTATGTGTTACCAGCAGTGAAGATTGTGGACGGGTAGGTCGGATACAATACTAGTAATAGATCTACGTTTTCTGGCCCATTTGCCTTTCTACCAACCTAAATAAAAATTCCTATGTGTAATGTTGACATCTAGAGAATTAAAATCGCAATTAGTAAAATATACTGCGCAGTCATTCTATATTATTATTATTATTATTATGTGCATTTTCGCGTTGAAGTCGACCGATAGGTCCACTTCTTCGCTTGTGCTGGACAACGAAGGCAGGAGGATAACAAATGATACGCTGTGGGAAAAAAATCAAACGATCACTGTATCAGAACCAAAACAGCACAAATCAGAAGAAAAGGGGCAAAGGAGCCGCAGAAGTATAAAGTCAGTGGTGGGTGAACAATGCAGTAGAGAGCATTGAGTGATGGTGTGGTGGATCAGCAACAAAGGCACCATCCAAACATACAAGGTTACATGTACGTTGAGAAGAAGTCAGATATTGCAGTGTCAAACGTCCCTTACAGATCCTTTTCTGTCGCCCGTTGACACAGAGCTCGCCACTCGGCCCTATCCGCTGCAATCTTCCTGATTCTGTGCAAGTCCTCCAGACTACTCAGCTTTCCGGCATCTGCTGCCTCCAAGTCAGCAGATAGTGTACCCGGCAGACTGGTCCTCGGCCGTCCTCTCCAGCCCTTGAGGTCCTTGCTGGTGTAGTAGCTGACCATTGCCTGGACAGCGGGTGTGCTGTCGGACAGACGGAGGACATGTCCGAATAGCTTCCATCGCAACATCTTGATGGTGTGACTGATCGGCTGGCTTTCACATCGAGCGTATAGTGCGTTGTTCGATATTGTCTGAGGCCACCTGATGCCTATAAGCGACCTCAGTTGACGCCGATGGAATGAGTCCAGTCGCTCCTGAGCTGTCTTGGTAGCATCATGCATCTAGACACATCATCAAGAATTTGCAATATTGCAGAAGCAGCAGAGAGCCGTGTGTGCATGTGTGTGTGTGTGTGTGTGTGTGTGTGTGTGTGTGTGTGTGTGTGTGTGTGTGTGTTGTGGACGGCCTGGGGTGTCCCCAGGCCAACAGTGCCTGACGTGGGGTCTTCAACGACAGGAGACTTGGTCGGATAGTTACGATGCCGACACTCTGCTCATCGCCCCCACATCGGAGTCCTTCGCGAGGCTTTGCAAGCCCGCGAGTGGAGCAAACTACCGCACGAAGACGACGACTTGGAACGACTCTGAGCATTGGCTCATGGAATGTTCGCCCTGTTGTGGAGAGTGATGGACCAGTTCAAGCGGCAGCCGTGAGAGGAATCGTTTCCGATGATAAGCCAGATCCATAGCTGCCAGAGATGACTCTCTCGAACATGGTCCCTGAGTCCCTGACCTAGTACCTCTCTCTCAGCAGACTGCCATCGCTCGTCGTTCCATATTGTCGGCCCCGCTAGGGGACACGTGACCGTAATGGCAGTGTTTACCATGACCATGACCATGTGTGTGTGTGTGTGTGTGTGTGTGTGTGTTTGTGTTTGTGTTTGTGTGTGTTTGTTTGTTTTCAGGAAAGTGCTGTGTAAATAGCTGAAATGGAATGTCGAACCCTTTAAATAGGAATCATCATAGTCTTGTAGGGAAATTATTGTTCACATTCCCGTTACCACCGGCTTTACAATTTTGTTGAGAAACACAACCAGCTTACTTTTGTTGGCGTTTGGTTCGGTAGGAGAGGCACCGGGACAGTGAAACTTCAATGTGAAGAAAGTGCCCTGGATATAACATACTAGGGAGGTTTAGTCCCACGTAATCCGTGGGTACTTTACGTGTGTGTACCACGTGATACTCAGTAGTAGGGAGGTTTAGTTCCATTACGTGGGAACTAAACCTCCCTGCTACCAAGTGTCCATTACCAAGAGTATAAAAGTGGGAATACTTGTACTAGAAATTCCGTGTTTTGAGCGCACGAGTTCAGAACGTGGTGCAAGCAAGTCACGTCATGAAGACCATGCAATGATCTATAATCACAGTTGCATATTTGTGGCTTTGGACTCTTGATACTACGGACTATGAAGTACTGTTTTCGAGGACCCTACCTTATGCTAAACCAGCCATTTGGACCTTGGACATACAGTACCTTGGCTATACACAGTACAGATGATTTGGCCCTTTGAAGTTCGTTTTACTGAAGTTTCATTGTGCTTGTGCATGCATGCGCGCGTGCACGCACGTGTGTACACCGCATGTTGTAATGCTGCATTGGTCTGCTGTGTGGTGTTGCAGATTGCCGCAGCCTGGGGTGACAATGTATGCGTATTCGAAGCGGAATGTCTTAGCTCAGAAGAGCGCTTGGCATTTCCCAAGGTGAGTGGGATATGTTATCTACAAGTACATGATGCTGATCTTTCCCTTTTGTAAAATACTAAAATGATGTAACGATGAATCACGCATTATGTATATGGCACGCATCTGGATACGATGTCCTGCTTTTTATCAGGCGGTTAAACATTGTGTTGAAAGTCTGGTTAACTGCATTTGGTGTCCCTGTATGTTCTCACATTTTACAGGCATTCCTGTACAAATGGTGCAAGATCACATCTGTGAAGGCCTCGTCTCCCGTGTACTGCTTGTCGTTTGACAAGCCTGGTGACAGGCTCTTAACCGGTGGGCTCTACCTGGAGCTATGGATGGCAACAACACCTGATGTTACTATTATTGGTACGTACTGTGAGTCACTAGAGACACTGCATCTCAGTAACGAGTAGAGGTGCAACTGTCCAGACAAAGAACGGAAAATGTTGCTGATCTTTCATCGACAATGTAACTTACTGTGGATTTTACTGTAGTACGCCATACCAGAAAAGTGCAACATAGCCGTATGTACTTATAAACTGTGTGATATGTTTGCGTGGAACCGATTCCCGAACCAAAGAGTACACACAGTGACTTCGGGTCTGTAGATGCCGAAATTTCGGAGCCATTCATCCCTACATTGTAGTAATAACTCTCGTCTCCTCACTGGTGATCATACAATTGTGAATGAACACAGAATATGTGGGACTCAACTTTGGAGTAATAGTCGTACAACATGGACCATGATTTGAGGTGCCGTCGTCTTCTCATTGGTGTATCCAGTAATTGATTCCTCGCCTGTGTTCGATTTTGAGCTTGTTCCTCGTGACGAACGGACGCGTACTAATCTTTACAAAGCAGAGTTGCCGTTGTGTCATACTAATCTTTGCGTTTTCCTATATTTGTCTACATGTGTGATTTTGTTGTAATATAGGAGGCGTTGTGAGTACGTCCCGTGGCCCATCACCACTTTCTATGCCAGCGGACAAGAAAACAGAGATGCCGATATGGGCGTGCACCTGGAGAAGACAGTAAGTGATCTTGAGATTCAGCTGTCAGCAGGGCTACACATATTTGCGTGCCAACTGTGTATGTGGCTGTCTGTCTGTTTGTTGTATATCTGTGTTGTGCGTGTGTGCATGTGTGTCTGTCTTTCGCAAGTAGGTTGTTCATAGCTATAGCCTCTGGATATTGAATGTGTGTGTGTCTTTTCTGGCTTTGTGGTTTCACCAGGCTTGCATTTGCCGCCGAGTTTGTGTTGTTCTCGCCCGATGGGCAATTGTTTGCAACAGCAGGAAAGGTTAGTACATAAGTCATGTACCGTATCTGCAGATATGTATACAACTATACATGTACTATGACACAGATACAGTAGCTGGATTGTTGCATTGATTGCGTTTCTGCTTGTGTACACATTGCTCTGTGTCATGTACATCGGATAGTGGACTGGTTCCATGTTGTGAGAAATTGACATACATTTAGGGTTTCACTCACTTGATTAGACTCGGGTGAAGAGCCAAGGATTAATTTATAAGAAGAAAAAGGACCGAAGAGCTACAAGTAGCGCTATAATTATCCACTAACACCACCGGTTACTTTACAATCAGCTCATGCGATAACATTGCACGACACTGACCAACGGTACTGACGTTCTAAACCCACGTGATTCATAATTTCATATGCTCTATTCCCTAAGCTTTCGATTGCAGTTCTGCAAGTAATGTTATAATCATGCCATCTTTATTTGCAAGGAGTGTACGATTTGGGTAGAGCTTAGCTATGGTCATGCGATTCTGTTTTACTTTTTTACTTGGCGTAGGGTGATCGTGCTGTCAAGATCTGGTATGAAGTGAAGAATAGCTTGTTTGGCATTAATGATGCTCCACTGGATTTCACCTTCACATACGTCACCCATCCGCGGCAAGTGTCTTCATTCGCGTGGCGGCAGACAAGCCCCATTATTCCTTGGTAAGTCAGTCCTCTGCCAGTTTGGTCGATTGTCCTGTGTTGCAAGGTTGTATTTATGGGAAGGTCAGTTGTCACTCAAGCAATAAGGTACTTCGAAGAACTCATTGACCACGTACCCTTGCAATTGCAGTGTGGGTCAATGTGCCATAACACAGTATTCTAGATTTTCTACATGACGCCTACTTTCCTTTTTGACTTTGCGGCGTTGGACTGTGTGTTTTTATTTACAGTGGCGTGATAGCAAATGTCCTCCTGACCCGCTGTCACGACAATGTATGCCGCGTTTGGGCGCAAACACCTTGTCATCAGGACCATTATGACTACTCTCAATCGCCGCACCATGCACCCACAAACACGGCACCAGCGGAAGGCAGTAGTACCAGCTCCACAGCCGCACCAATATCATCACAGGCTTCTGGTATGTGCATGTAAACGAATGCCCGTCATCCTGCTGTTTACTTTTACCTGAAAATTGTCCTTAGCAAGGATCGTACGGCATCTGTCAGGCTGTGCATAAACTCTGATCATCACCTAAGCTAGGGGGAAACTTAGCACGTGTACACGTGACTAATCCAATACTACATGTAACGTCTGACTGTTGTCAATGCTTATGTTTCACTGTGGCCCTGACCTGTGTATCTTTGTGAACGGAGAAATTCATTTTTTGGACTTCCTTTTCACGCTACCGTATGTTGTTGTCATGTGTATTTGTGCTGTACTTACAGTATATGTGATGGGTGTTTCTCTTATGTGCCTTTATATTGCTTAGCTCCGTACAAAGTGGGATCATCATTGCACTTTCACTTAGCTGGTTCGATTGATCAGGGTGCCAACATACCTATGCACAGCTCTAGTACATCGTCATCACGCCAGCAGACTTCACTCTTTACTGTCCACTGGATGGATAACAAGCGATTGTGTCTTCAGTTTGCCGCCAAGGTAGGCGTACATTTTGTCTGTGTTGGGCAGTTTAGACTTAGTGTAAAGTGAGTTGACCTCTTCTCCCTCTCTCTCTCCTCTCCCCTATTTTGGTCACATACTTATGTGTTCCGTGTGCCTGCCTGCCTTCGTGAAAGCCGCCCCTTCCTCAATCCAACATGCTGTTTACTTCGCTGTTACATTTAATTAACATACACTGTTTATGTTCACACACACGCACTCACTCACTCAGACATGCCCATCGCGGAAGCGATGATAGCGAACAGCTATGAACTTGTGCTGGGACTACACTATTCAACAGCTTGCAAGGCTGATGAATTGACCGCCACTAATTTTAGCCTGGTCTACACCACACAGCTGATTTGAAGTGGCTTTTTTCTGGCCAGTGGACCCCCCCCCCCCCAGTAACCAGCGGTACTCCCAGATGATTAGAAATAGTTGTACTTGAGTGCCACGTATAGCCAACATGTGCCTCGTGAGACGAAACACCGGAACCTGAGTGTAGTGAGGAAAGTAAACTTTCACAGGGGCTAAGAACTGTTCATGCCATGGCCACTGCACATCTGCATCATCTGCTCGACTTTCTCCCATTATAGGCAATGCTCCGTTGTGAGAAGACATCCAATCAAAGATCGTCTGACCGGGATTCACCATCGTCGGTGCATAGCGAAGGTTAGAAAATGCTTCTCCTTTGTCTTGACTGATGATTTAATGGTGTGACTTTTCTAGTAAACTAAGCTGCGACTTTGGTGGTGATATTTGAAAGAGGTCGCTGCTCCTAATACATGTATTGGAGATCGTGACTCCTGCCGACTGTAGCTGTCATCTAAACCATAATTAGAACATCAAACCTTCCACTCGGCAAATTTGCAGAAAGCACAGCACCCTCCAATGCACAGTGTTTCGGGGAACTCACCCCTCATAAGAATGTAGTCCAGTTTTTTCCTTTTCTTTTTGGGGCTGTCCCAGAAGCAAAACGCTAGTCGAGGGCCTTGGATCATACCGGCCCCTGCCTGTACCTGTGGGCCTGTTTCAGCATGTGTGCACTCACGATCACATCAACATGGAGTGCCATGCACTGATTCTAATTACTGACTCTCTTCTCTTGTTCTAGATTCCATGGTTATTGTCAACCCAGTTACCAGTTCAAAATCGGAGTCCAGTGCCAAAGGCAGTGATAGGTATGTTGTGTCATGTCCTTGTCTGTCGCCTGCAGTGATAGGTATGTTGTGTCATGTCCTTGTCACTCGCCTGCATTCGCCTGCATTGTCCTTTTATGTCTACTTTTGTAAGGACTCATATTTGGAGCCAGCAATAATATATTTAACTTGAAGAAGGAAAGGACCAACATTTACTCATTACTGTACAGGCAGAAAATTTCGTCGGTCAATAATTTCGTCCAACTCCAAAGAAAGGGAGTTCGTCCGGTTGAAAATTTCGTCCATGGATCATAAGAGTATATTGAAAAGGTGCACAAATCGACATTAGTCCTTCGTTTAATTTAGTCCAAAAGTTCCTTGGACGAAAAAGACGAAATTAAATTCTAGACGAATATTTCTGCTTATACAGTATGCGTTGTTGTACACCAATTTATTGCCAAGATACCGTAAGGTCAGAACGTGCGACATTTGGCACAATACGGAACCTTCCCGGTTGGAGGGCTGTTGGTCAGTGCATCCAAGATGCCATCCATCTTCTCTGCAATTCTGATTGCAGAGCTTTCTCGGTGTGCGCTGTTTGACATTAAAACGTTACACCGCTCTCGCCGAGATAAGGAAGCCCACCTTTGTGCAAGGCTGATGAAAATTGTCCTGTAGCTGTCTGAAAAAGATATTGCAGAGGTTCGATCGATTGCCATTCACTCAATCTTCATCGTAGAGAACTCGGACTTGTTTAGGTCGACAGCTAAGACTGCGTTTACACGGAGACGAAACGGAACGAAAACGGGCTGGCCTCAAATCGTTTTCAAATTGTTTACGCGAGAACGACAAATCGTTTTGAATCGTTTACACGAAAACGGAAAACGGGCGATCAGGCTGGCTTTAGCACGTACTGGCTTGGTGCAAGGGCAGAAAGTAACACGTTAGTTGGAGTTGGTACGTGCTGGTGGTCGCATGGGTTGGGTATTTCCCACGAAATATAGTCCCGCGCGGAATGGTTTCCATGACCGCGCTCCGTTTCCAATCGTTTTCACTGTTTTCACCGTTTACGCGAGAACGAAAACAGAAATTTAGGTCCAGAAAAGCTGTTCCCTATTGGATGATGTGTGTCAGTGTTTGTGCAGCTATTGAATTTTTTAGTATGAAAGAGATGAACCGAATGTACTGAAAATAAAAGTACTCATTTTTTTGTGAAAATCATAGTACATGCACATGATTGTGTGCATCGTACTTTATGGCACAACCAGCGCCACTGAAGTAATCTCCTGTTGTTTGGCTTGTCATTGTCTATTCTTAGATGTTGTACTTACAGTTGTCTCTCTCTCTCTCTCTCTCTCTCTCTCTCTCTCTCTCTCTCTCTCTCTCTCTCTCTCTCTCTCTCTCTCTCTCTCTCTCTCTCTCTCTCTCTCTCATGTGCCTTGGTGTCTTATTATCACCACAGCTCATCACCATCCAATTCTCCCATGCCGCAGCGAACTGCCGGTGAGTTCCTGACTGTTGACGGTGGTGGCTATCGCAGTCCTGCCAATCACCCGCGTCAGAATGGGGAGCTTGAGGTCTCGAGGCAAAGCAGTAAGTGTACTTGTCATTTTCAAGTGTGGTATGATCTCGTGGTGCATGTGTGTAGCACCTTCATGCCTCCAAACCTGTTGCGAAGAAGGCTAATCTTCCACAGAGATAGACATTGTAGCTGTAATAGATCGAACTGGGTTGGTTGCTTGCTGAAAGCTTTGCTGGTAGCTATTGATAATTCCTAATTGTAACATGGCTTTGGTTCAACTTATTTCACTAGTCATCTTCATGTACTTGGAAACAACGTCAACAAATGTATGATGGGAGGTTGTCTGTGTTCTTTTCTCATATCTCTGCCACCTGCTCCTCCAGGGCGACGTGGTGAAACTATGATGTCCTCAGGCAACTGGGTTGTTGTGCCAGCACTCGCAAATCCTGGCCAGTGGGTAGTGGTTGCCTCACCAGCTGCTGCTGACGATGCAGGTGTCAATAGCTATGGACTGTCAACAAAGTCTGTCCGCGCTCTGCTCCGAGAATGGCAGAGCACTCCCGACATGCTGTTTGCCATCCATCCACTGGATGGCTCATTGCTAGTGTGGATGATTGACGGGCTCGATGCTGTGTCACCTTCGTTTCGCTTGCCAAGGCTGAGCTTTGCCTCTCGCATCCCACATGCTATGCCTACAGCTGACATCTGGACTCTCCAAGGTACTATCTTCACTGTGGCTGGACCCTGTGCTGAGGATGCGGAGGACATCAGCAAGCTGCTGGCAACACCTGCGAAGCGGACGCAAGTACCGAGCCGCTCTGCCAGTGGTCGCTCAACACCCAGTGCATGGATGAGGCGGAGGCGCAGCGGTGGCGTTCGTAACTCGTCTCTGATGCAACGTGGCGTTATGGGCGGTGTTAGTTCACTGTTGCCCAGTGTAGCATCATCACCTGATGTAGCACATCCAAGCTTGGTGCTGATTTCTCACCACATTGGCGGTGCACTGCATGTTTGGTCAGTGGACTTTGCCCGTGGCTCTGGTTATGTGACACCGTTCGCTATGAGGCAAACTGGCTCTGCTTTTGGCCATCGCCTGCCATGCCAGTCAGCTCTAGTGCATCCATCTTCATCCATGCTTATCACAGCTGCTCATCTGAAACAGCAGTCAGCGGCCAAGTCAGACGACTCCAGTCTTGTGTCGTCGTCGCGAGCTGCCGAGTTAGTTTTGTGGCACATGCACACGCCAGCATCCGTGGAGTGTGAAGGTGATATGCTGCAACTAGTTTCAGTGCTGCATAGCAACAGCCACGGTGCATTTCGGCAGCAGTGCTGGATCGACTCCAAGATTGCCTTCTCCACAACCGAGCTATCGCGGCCTGTCATGCCAGGTGGGCAACCAGTAGTACTCCGTGTTGGACCAAGTACCCTCTTTATTTCACAGGATGATGATGGAGCTCTAGCATTGTTTCAAGTCATCACTGATGCTGTACAATGGTTGGGCGTGCATGGTGGTGCTGCCAATTCAGCTGATGAAGTCGCATTTGAGGAGTGCAAGCGACAAAGAGATGTGTCTGTGTCACTAGATGGTCCGGAGACACCATCATCGTCGGTCTCGTCTCCCCCGTTCACTGCACAAGGGAGTGTAGAGCTTGGTGTACCGGCCATGCAGCTTGGTTACGGTGACATTGTTAGTCGCCAGTGTGGCTCTCGACCAGGTTGTGTGCTGCACTTGGGCAGCATTTGTGACTTGGAGTCATTACCTGGCGACATTACTCTACTTCACTCGTTTCCTCTGACTGATGCCTGGCTAAAGGTCTTACGAAATGGCTCCGTGTCTGGTTCAGAGGACGGTGATTCATTAGAAGGCCGAGACACGTACGGTGAGTTTGATCGACCGCTGATCTCGGAGGGAGTGGAGAACTTCCTGGTAGTGGCTATTGAGAGCAGAACACCTGTTCTGACCGAGCCATCGACCCCGATTCATGAAGCCGGAGATATTGAACGTATGACTAGTGACACTCTGTCCATGGTCAAGGCAAACACCAGCTCCGTCTTGCACACATGGCTTGTCACTGTTCATCGTCATGCAGTGATTCTACCACTTGATACAAAGCTGGAGGATCCTGTCCAGCCGCCTGTCGTGGAGATCCAGTCGAGGCGTCTGGCAGCTCAAAAGATGCCGCTTCCGCTTGGTGTCAATGTCACCTCTGCTAGTGTGTCAACTGGCCATGCAGAGTCTGTGTCACTCGACGGTGTCGACGCTCCCCCGCCTTGGCAAGTTGCAACAGTATGTTCTGACAAGGCTGTTCGCTTTTGGCGCTGTGTTGGTTGCTCTGCCGACTTACTGGATGGCATTGACATGGAGGAGGGTCATCACCTGGACGATCATAGCTTGGGTGATGGCATGAGCCTTGGAGCAGCACTGCCCGCATTCAACGTAGCATGGGAGGAAGCCTCTCAACCCCGCGCAGATGACAACACCTCATTGCTGCGCGTCATCGCTTCATCGCCGTCTCAATTGGCTACTGTCCAGGAGAAGCCAGCTAAGCCCGGCGTATGTACTGTGGAAGTGTGGGATAGCTCAAACAGTGGTGGCCATGCTTGGCAGAAGGAAGACTTGGGGTTCACTCTCCCCTGCCCTGCTGGCTCTAGTAACGGTGCCAAGCCACTTTGGATGTCGCAGCTCAACGGCGATAACTACCTGGCCCTGGCTTCTGGCAACCAGATGTCGCTGCTGCAGTCCTACCGGAGTAATGCTGGTAGTGATGCTGGCTCAGCTAACAATGCCCATCACTGGCAGCATGTTGCCACAACAGAAGTTAGTCACATGCACGACCTGGTCACGGCCACTCATGGTGAGAGTTCCATGGAGCAGCCTACTGACGAACCACGCGCCACCAACGACTGTTGTCATGCAGCTGCTGCTGCTGCTGCTTTGACCAGTAACACAGCCAGTATGCTACCACTGGCATGGAGTCGTGGCAATTTAGTTGTTGGGTACAATGGTGGTTCAGTTCTACTGGTGCTTTCACATTGGCTACCATCGTTGGACGACAACTACAAGTCTAGTCGAACAACGTGCTTGTCGATACGGACGACAAGAGGAGGAAGCGGCGACATATCCAAGCCCATTCCTGCGGTTGTGGTGTCAAGCTTTGATTCCGGTGATACTAGCCATGACCAGTTGTCTGAAAAGAGGTTAGATTTCTCAAATTTGCCTTTTGAAAGAGGGTTTCACTCTTTCCTCTCTTTTGCATGCTTTGCACTGCTTTACAGTGAAGCTTTCTATTAGTGTACTCTCTGTAAACGATTGAGAGACGTGAGCTTGGCAATGAAAATCATACTGTACCGCCTCACCACTTGTAAATATTGGATTGTTCTGCCACTAACCGATTCGAAAGTTCCATCACTCCTGAAGTGGCTTACTTTACAATAATTCATGTCACATGAAGCTGACCTGTAGCCCATCAATTGTATCAGAATGAAAACCGCCTCTCCTATCCATTCAATATCTATACTTCGGAAGCGTGAAAGTAACTCTTTTCTGGATGTACTACAGCTGTGATGCCTAATGTAAGACTATCCGCTTTGCGTCTGTCCCTGTTCTGTGTTACGTACGTGCTGTAGTATCCTTGAGCTGGCAAGCAAGAATGTGCCTCACCTACCACAGTACCACCCTGATCAGCTCGCCCAGTTGCTGCATGCTGGACGGCTGATGCATGTACGCACCATCCTGGTGCACCTCGTGCAGTGCTTGGCACGCCGGGCGCTGCTTGTCCGGCATCTGGAGAGTCGCAAGCATGCTGACGCGGACAGTGACGCGGTGCTCTGGTGGCGCCCGTCCAACTCCATGGACAGCACTGTGGTTGATGATCTTTATCCCATGCCGTTGTCACAGGTCCTGTCTGCAGAGGCACAGCGATGTGATGCCCCCGCGCTGCCCTCTGTTCAGGTACAGTGTACACTGCTAATGCATGAACACACCGACACACTGTAGTTTTGTCTTCTTGTTAGTGTCTTCAACATGAAATCAAATGTCTTGAATTTGATTCTTCTTTCTGCTATGTGGTTCACTGTTGGGACTGCGTACAAGCATTGTCCATGTATGTCTGGTCCATCTCTGAATGTACCATTGATGTCTTTCTTCCCTTTTCGTTATTGTCTCCAGACTAACTCAGGGGCCTCGGTGGATGAGAGAGAGGTTGTGAACGATACAGACTATGATCAACTTTTTGGCAATAACAGAGGCGAGCTGAACATGGAACTTGAGTTGGAGTTGGACTTCAATCTTCAAGGGGATGAAAACGAGGATGACAGTGCTGAGGAAATTCGAGTCGAGAGGGAGAATTTGAATGTAAGTGGCTGTGTCTTTGTGAGGGCCTCTTCACGCGTGGTACGAATCAGCCTGTAAGTCACATTTATATAGGCCAAGACAACTACAAGAATCTGGCAGGAAGCCTGAAAAGCTGCCCAGTCCTTTCATGCAAAGTGCTGATCCTTGTACAAGACACTGCCACTAGTACTTTTCTAGTGTCTTGAACGCAGGCAAGCACACTGCACGTGTTCTTGTATGATGTACAGTATCTCCATGTTTACTTCGAAGTATGTATCTATGTGTGCCTGTTCCTGTGTCTGGGTCATTCTGTTGATGTGTGTATGTCCTGTTGTTGATGTGTGTGTGTCTGTCTGTCTGTGTGTGTATGTGTGTGTGTGTGTGCGTGCGTGTGTGTGCGTGCTTTAGGCGACCACTTTTGGAGCATCACAGTTTGATTTCTTGACATCTTACCTGAGTAAGGTGCGCCTAGCTGGCCTATCCAGTGTTGAGCAGATGAAATTGCTTGCTCTTGCTGACACTGTTGCCTCCACACACCATCAATTCAGCACTGAAGCCACAGCAGAGTCTGGTGACTCTACAGATGATGGCCCTCAATTCACTCGACAAGTGTTGGTAAGAGTCACAGTGTACTGGGGTTACTGTTTCATGCATGCCGTCTTCTGGTTGGGCTGGGTTTGTCCTGTAGGCTATGATCGTTTGGTCGGATCCAGATCCAGATCCTAATCTCAGATCCGTCGGATCCTTCAGAATCAACCGATCACTTTTTTCGGACCTTGGCTATTGACGAAGTAAGAGATGGCGGTGGCAGGTCACCCAAAAGGGCGAAAGTCGTACTGATCGCGCGCGCGCGCGTCGTATGAAAAGTCAACAAGAGTCGACTACTCGTACGGCAATGAGTACAAAAATGATTTTTACCCGCCATATATGCCATAAACTCGGTTTCCAGCCGAGTCTCACGCGAACCGTGAATTTTTTTTATTACGCACAAAGGTCGCATTTGGATCCGATAGATCCAGTCAACCCGGCTCCCGGGGCAGGGTTGCTCGGATCCAAGTCCAAAGGATCTGGATCCGGATTCGACCAATCAATCACTGTAGATCCAGTGGATCCGACGGATCTGGATCCGACCTAACGATCACAGCCGTAGTGTGTTTCAAAAATGTAGATACGTGAACCAGCACGAGTTCCATACGAACTTGTAGCATACTCTCGGACCCGTATTTGAGTGTAAGAGCTCCCCAAACTTGTGACAAGCCTGCATACTCACTCTGCACACCACAGGCATCAAAACCTAGACGATCCTGAAACGTGGCTGATGCCTGATATCAAACTTCATTTCTAACGAACTAGAAGTGTTGAATTAGGAAGCAAAAGTGCTGTCTACAAAACTCAAGATACCTTATATACCGTATTTTCCGGGGTATAAGCCGCACTTTTTTTCGCTAAAAATCGGACCAAAATCGCCCCTGCGGCTTATACACCGAATATGTTTGCGCGAATGAATGCATAGCATACATCAGTATGCATGCTGACGTCATGTGACATGTCATTCGACTCAGCTTCGCGCCTGTGTTGCTGATCAACATCAATGGCAGCGAGACTGAAGATAGTGCAGATGACATGGAGTGATCTGTAGTCAACACAGCAATACACCAACATCTCTGCAGCAACCTGTGGTGCACTAACACTTCATAATCTGATCTAACATGGTATTTAGCTCCATAACCATAATAAATTTGCAGAAAGGCCATTTGTCAATGAGTGTGAAAAATCTTGGTTTGTGGGTGCGGCTTATACTCCGAATACCAACTTTTAGTCAATATTTTGCCTCAAAAAGGGGGGTGCGGCTTATACCCCGGAAAATGCGGTAGCTTACTGAATTGCCCAAAACTGCACATCTCTGATATTAAAGTGCCCTAATAGTTTGAGCTTCTGCTTAACCCTTTACTGTCCGTACATACAAGCATCGATCCAATGGGATCGATGGGGTAGGCATTTTGAAATTATCGTAACTTGCTCAAATCTAGGTCTTTGGGAGAGATCGAAATATGTAGGTCGAAGAGAAAAGTCTCAGCTGTCGCCTCGAACAATTCCCGAAGCGATACGAAAAGCGGTTGCTGAGTTATCGCACTCGTAATTCTGGTCCCGGGAAATGTGCGTTCAGAGCGCGACGCGCATGTCGACGGCTGGGATTTTCCCTGTTTACGTCACCTGTTCGCAAGGCTACACCGATTCAAATTCAAAAGCAGGTTCCCGGGAGTCTCTACGAAAATATTTGAGCTCGATACGAGCAACAGGGGTGACATGGTGGATTGAGATCGATCTCGAGCGTGAGCTCAGCGCTTTTGCGCGTTCCCTGGCTTACAGCGCTGGACCAGTGCATCCTGTGGCGCCGAGTGTGGGCTCATTGCGTTCGTCTCGTCAAGACCTTTCCAGGATGCCCAAGATCGTGGAAATCGTCAAATTCAAACCAAAGTTACGTCTAATTTTAGTTTCAGATTTTGTGGTTGCGTGGGCTTGTATACATTTTAATCGGACAGTAAAGGGTTAAAGGGGAAGTTAAGGCAAAAATTAAAATTTCACCAGTTGTAGTCTTCGGGGTGCTGAGTCGAATGGTCGTGGTCCGAGGAAGCTGAGACGCTCCCTTCCTACTTGAATCCCAATCGAACTCGCGCATTTCCACCGAAACTGGGTGACTGCGCCCTACGAGATGGGGATTTATATGCAAAATGTCACTAAAAGCGCCATTTCGTTCTTATAAAAGCACGGATGACCGCGATTGGCCCATATGTTGTAGTCTTTTGGACGCTGAGTCGACTGGTTTTGGTCCGAAAAGGCTGCGATGCAGCGTTCCGCCTTTATTCCCAATCGAACATGGTTGAACAAGCGGTCACGTGCTCCTGCGTACGCCAGTCACCTGGTCACCGTGCCTGCAGGGTACAACTTACTAGCCTGTTTGACCTTTTTTGGGTGCAGTCCTGTCACTCGAGTTGAACTCGAGTTGAACCTTGGTGTGAAAGTTGTCACCTGCTGGCGTGGTGACCAGGTGATTTGGGCACCCAGGAGCACGTGACCACTTGTTCAACCATGTTCGATTGGGAATAAAGGAGGAACGCTGCATCGCAGCCTTTTCGGACCAAAACCAGTCGACTCAGCGTCCAAAAGACTACAACATATGGGCCAATCGCGGTCATCCGTGCTTTTATAAGAACGAAATGGCGCTTTTAGTGACATTTTGCATATAAATCCCCATCTAGTAGGGCGCAGTCACCCAGTTTCGGTGGAAGTGCGCGAGTTCGATTGGGATTCAAGTAGGAAGGGAGCGTCTCAGCTTCCTCGGACCACGACCATTCGACTCAGCACCCCGAAGACTACAACTGGTGAAATTTTAATTTTTGCCTTAACTTCCCCTTTAAGTAAGCGAGGTGTATTCGTTAGGGGGGGGGGGGGGAGTGGGTTTTAGGAGTTTCGTTTTGAAAATAATTATTGAATATACATGAAGAATGCCCAACTACTTCTGGGTGCCGAAGATTGAAATCAATATTTTGTTGGACTGCGTTTTACCTGCAGAAAGGGTGGGTGGGTGGTTGAAAAATACTAAACGTTTTCGTTTCACATAAACAATCGGTAACCCCGGACGGCCCCTACCTGAATGCTGCATATTAAAGTGTACATTTTCATTTGGAATAAACTTAGGTTGATTTGGTTCAGCATCCTGAGTGAATGAAAATTAGTTGTGAATGAGCACAGTTGTGTTTACCATATGTAGTAGTGTATGGGGTGAGGATCCGCAATTGTATCTGACCGATAGGCCCTTTTTGACTTGGAATGTTAACCTTTTTTCTTTTCTCTTTTCACTGTTAGTGTATGCCAGCAGAGTTCAGTAGTTGCTTGCCCTCTCCTTAATTTGCTGACCGTTGTGTGTGTTGATGTTGTTGAATGCAGAATGCATCTGGTGCCAGTGGTGCAGGCTATGCTAGCCGTACAGAGGGAGGCGAGGAGGGCATCGATGACTGTGGTCTTCGTTTCCTGCTATCCATGCGTCAGTTCAACTGTCTGATGCATTCCGCGTCGCAGCGCCAGCGTGGTATGTTTGCCGAGCAAGGTCTTTCCACGGCTGTCTTTGCCTGGGCGTTCCACTCGCATGCCGAAGAGGAGCTGCTTTCCCTTGTACCCTGTGTGCAGAGCGGCCGCTTGAAGTGGTCTGAATTGCGGGCGGTCGGCGTTGGTTGGTGGCTTAGAAGTCAGGAAAGCCTGCGTCGTCTGGCAGAGAAAGTAAGTGTACTTCTCCCTTCAACTTCTTCTGTTTATGACTTGTTTCAGTATCACTATATGGTACGAACACCACCTAATCAGCTGCTCCGAGAAATGCATGCAGCACAGTGACTCATATCCTACCTGTTCAGCAACACAAGCCTCTTTTACGGGCAAACAGAATACAATTCACGGTGGCATGGTGAATGATTGGAACACAACACCAAAAAAACAATTGTATATGTAAACAGTGCCATTTGGTAGAGGACAGAGTCAAGAATCCCTAATCCCCTTTGACATACGAAATCGATGAAGAAAACGCATTAACGCACTCTCCACATACAGGCATGCACCCGGCTCAGAACACATTGTTTTCTGGTTGGCATATCAGGGATATTGGGCGGAGCAGCTGGCGTGCATGAGAAAGACAGGTCGGCCTGCTCTGCGCAGGAGCTGTGACCCGGTGCACACATAGTGTGTGTGAGAGAGACAGACAGGTCGGCCTGCTCTGCGCAGGAGCTGTGACCTGGAGCACACAGAGTGTGAACGAGAGACGGTCGGCCTGCCGTGGGCAGGAGCTGCGACCGGTAGTGATTGAAATGAGCCAGCTCCGGAGATAGACTGCCCGTTCCCAATATCCCCAATATGGCATGAGAGTAATAATGAAATACGACTGGTGTATTGTGCTGTACTGACAGCAGCAATGTAAAGCTAAAGCTAAGCAGTTCAGGCATGATGTGGTCACTAACCCGCAGCTACCATTGATGACTTTGAACTGCAGCTAATTGACGTGACACTCGCAGGGTGTCAGCTGTAGCAGCCCGGATGTAGCGGTGGACCGCATCACTGCGCCATCTACCCATGATACGGATGATGTGTTCGGGGACACCTGCCATGGCCGCTGATGTTGCGGCGCCAATCCGGAAAGAGTGACTGGCATATGCACTCGGGTCCGTGACCCCACAGAGTGGCAGCAGGTTGCGCAGTTCAGAGGACACTGCATTTCTTGTAAGCGGCTGGCCATTAGCATAAGTGAACAGATGGTCGCCGCCGGGGCGAAACGCCAGGTAGTTTGCCATGGCCTGCACTGGGCAGATCAGTGCGTCCGTGCTGGCTCCAACCAATACTGTGTGGCCCATGCTGTCGGGGTCCGTCTTAGATGAGCGCACGTTTACCGATAACGACCGCTGGTCAGTACTGATCGTCACATCACATCGCCTCAGGCCAGCAGTCAGTTCTCCACAACGGAAGAACCCATGAAACGCCAAGGAAAAAGCTGCCCTTAGCATGGCCTTGTTGTGAGGGTGCCGCATGCGTGGAACGGCAACATGCCGGCAGATCTCCCTGAGAAGTGGAGTGGTTATCGGCAGACGATGACGCTGTGTCGATGGCGACCTGTCGATGCCCCGCAGGACCCTAGCGAGGAGAGTTGTTGGGCCCGACGGGTAAGCAAAGCCAAGTTCCACATGAAGGTTGCGGATTGCCGACATGTAGACACGGACAGATCGAGGCTGAAGAGTCCTGAACAACTCGGCAGCAAAATAGCACAAAGTAAAGTCGTCGCCCGGCAATGGGTTGCAGGCATGCACTTGGCAGAACTGGAAGTAGCGGGTCTCGGCGGTAGAATACGTCCGGCGGGAGGATGGTGCTATTGCCAGTGCTGCTAGCTGTAGCACGGAGTCTGTCAACGGAGAGTTGGCAAGACTGGCTGATCTGGCTCGGCTGCTGCTTCCGGGGCCTGGTGCCTGAATACCTGCAGCAAATTGCGAGACAATGCATCGGCGACAGTGTTAGTGACACCAGGAATGTGGACAGCTGACACCAAGAAGTCATGCTCAATACACAGCAGATACAATGCCCGGATAAGTGTCATGACTGGCGGTGAACGGCAGGTACCGGAGCGTATACAGTCCACCACGGCCTTGTTGTCACACTGAAACTGAATGCGTCGCCTGCTCCACTCTGAACCCCAGGTCGCGCAGGCAACTATGATAGCATACATTTCTTTGAACTCAATGTTCTCGTTCTCGTTCTGGGCTGTCCACTCTCCTCTCAGCCACCGGCCTTTGTAGAAGGCACCATAACCGTGAGTGCCGCTGGCATCAGTCTGTAGTTGCATGTCGGGGGCTGGCGTCCACTCATCCACCAGGAAGAATGACTTCCCATTCCATATGGTCAGGGCCTCTGCCCACCACAACAGGTCTGCCATTGCCGATGCCGAAATGCGTAGCCATTAGTGCAATGGTGTTGATCGAGTTGCTCTGTCCAGGTCGTACAGGCGTCTCAGGAATGTGCGACCAGCTGGTACAGCTCTGGACGCGAACGAGAGTTTGCCCAATACAGAGGCGAGGTCGCGTTTCTGAACCCGGCCGGATTGGACGAGGGCCGACACGGTGGTAGATAGCTTAGTCAGCTTTGAGGGTGGAAGGCGGATCTCCAGAGCCATTGTGTCCAGCTCTAAGCCCAGGAAGGTGAGAACCGTAGAGGGGCCGTCAACCTTCTCAGGTGCAACTGGGACCTGTAAATATGCAAACAGGTCGAGCAGTAGTGACTTCTGGTGCTGGGCAAGAGGAAGACTGGGAGGCGATACATTCAGGAAGTCATCCAGATAATGAATGAGATGGGGAAGGCGGCATGTGTCCTCCAGAACCCAATGAAGGGCAGATGCAAACTTGTCAAATATGTACGGAGCTGACCGAAGGCCGAACGGGAGGACTTTTTCGAAATAGTAACGACCATCCCAAGAGATACCCAACAAGTGCCAGTCAGAGGGGGCAACAGGGCATAATCGGAAGGCGTTTCGAATGTCCACTTTGGTCAGGTAGCAACCACGGCCTAACTTCATGATATAGGAGATAGCCGAATCGACAGTGTCATACTCCAAGCTGAATGACTCCCGGGAAATACCATCATTGACACTGCGGCCAGTGGGGGAGGATAGGTCATGGATGAGGCGAAATTTGCCATTGGATTTTGGGATCAGGCCCAAACCCGAGGTTTGAAACAGCTGATATGGCGGCTCAGCAAACGGACCAGCTGTTTCCCCAGCATCGCAACAAGACTGTAGGTACAGGGTGACACATTGTTTATTGCAGAGACTAGACGGATGATTGACAGATTGAATGCATAATACCAGAGGAGTGGTGTGACCAATCGAGAAGCCGTTAAACATGCCAGCACATACATAATCACGAAACAGGGCATCAGGGTGAGCAGCTAGCAGTGCAGTTAGCCGAGGCACGTTGACTGGAGTGACGACGTCACTGGGAAGACTGAGAGGCCGCTCGGGTGCAAGTCTTCTTTGGGTGTTTGCCGCGGCATGACAGACAGACATGGGCCCGTATGCAGGACGGGTATGTGCAGGCGCCGTTGTTGTAATTCCGGCAGATCTGGCGGCCATCGTGACGAGGAGCTGGGCTGGTGGCTGACTGGCTCCCGCCTGCGTGCTGCGCAAGAGGGAGCCCTCCATGAAAGGGGCAATGCGGGGCTGGAGATGGGTGCACGAGAGAACAACGCGAGCAGATAGGGCGCCCGCGGCTCGTGAAGCAGGACTGCCAGAGGTTAGGGTCCAGTTGCCGCCAGGAATACAGGTGCGGCATGGCAGCAAGACCAGCACGGAAACGACGGTCATAGGTCAGCCACGCGTCGGTCAGATAATTGTTGTTGGCCTCGATGATGTTGGCTTGGTACGCCAGCAAATCTGGAGCTTGGTCCGGCGACGCATCGACCAGGACTCTGGTGAACAAGGTGAAGGCCTCTAACCACGTCGCCAAGTCATGGACTCGGCGCTTGGAGGGCTGGGGAGTGGACGAGCTCTGCACCAGCTCAACGGACCTGCCGTTCACCAACGACAACTGCAGGACATCACTACTGCCGGACATGGCTTCAGGCAACAAGTCCCCAAATTCGACAAACTCACCTCGTGTGATACGTTCCCGTAGTCGTGGAGGGATGACGGGGAGTCCTGGACAGCCGGCTGCGCAAGCCAAGTGCATCGGGGAAGGCTGCCCCAGCGGGAGAGGAGCTGATGCTGGTGCTGGTGCGGCAATGGGCGAGGTGGTAGGGGCGACGACGTTGGATTCCAAGCACTCCACGCGCTCCAGGAGGGGCTGGATAACACCAGTCAGGTCGCTCAGGGTGAGAGGAGCTGGTTGTGACGGCGCAGGAGAAGTCACCTGGTCCGCATTGGCTGAAATGTGCCCATGAGCATGGGTCACACGGGACCTCGCTCTCCGATGGTCTTGAGAATTCGCAGAATTCACAGCCCGCTGCGGATACGGGTAGAGAGCTGGGGGACCGTCAGCGTCAGTGCCAGCAGCGCTTGCACCCCGTGAGGTGCTCCGTGTTCTTGGCATGTCCGTTGAGGCAGGAAAATGTAGGAAATTGACACTGACGGACAAACCAGTGAACAGTCAAGTCGTCAGAAAGCAAAAGTGACAAAGGAGTCTCTCTTTTCTCCTTCTCTCTCTCTAAAGCAAGATTTGGAATGCATGCGTGGGAGAGTGGCGCGCGCTGCGCATGCGCATGTATAGCAATGACATCATAATCAGATGCATGATCATCAGACTAAGTATGAGTGGTAGATGTTCCACGTTCGTTAACAGGGCTTGGCGCACACGCTAAACCACCAAAAAAGCCAGGAAAATACATGGGCACTATCCTGCCCAACATCATCTCCAAAAAACTCGCAGCCAGCCCTCCGAGATTGCCAATTCTCGCAAAGCATTTACAGGACAGTGATATGATGATCGGGCACCGCGGATGGACATGATCGCCAACCGCAACAATGCAACAGCGAATCAACACCGGATATATGCCATTTTCTCGGCATACAACTCCGTGTCCCCATTTGAAATGAGACTACATAGGCGTTTGACAAATCTGGAGCACTCTGACGCACAACAACCGCCCGTGGTGAAAACTAGTGGAGTAAATGTCCCACGGTCCACATTGATGATATGCTCGGCATACTCCAGCTTCTTCTTCCTCTCATGCTCCGCCAACAGTTTCTCGAGAGGTCTGGTGGCATAGGACGGAGCATCGGGATGAACAACCCGGACATCCAGGAAAGCTGTCTGTGCCCTGGTCCACAGCCCTCGAGCCCGGATATCAGCGCGAGTGTCGTTGGCTTTGTTAGTTGAGGCTGCCAGAAACACCTCTCCCGAAACCGGAGCAAGCTGAGGCTCGACAGCGACATCCGAGCAAACCTCAGTTAGTAAGTCGGCAAGAATGTCGCGAACTTCATTGTGCCGAATGGTGGGGAAACCACCAGTAGGGCAACACATGGCATGGGCCGGACTAAGCGGTTGGCCACAAGAGCAGGTAGTAGGCACACCAACCAGTGCCCAGTCTTACCACAACGCCACTGCTTCCCGGAAATCTCCCTTCGACAGATGATATCCGTGTTCTCTGATATGCAGTGTGTTGAGCCAGCTAGAGACACATCGAGAGGACAAATGCTCCAATCGACGTGCCATATCCGCTGACGCCGACTGCCGCAGCTGGCAGAACTAAGCCTCGCTTGTAGTGCCGCGTTGACTGACAAAATCCTTCTTGGCTGTCATAGCATCTTGCCGAACACGTTCTGGTGCTTGTGAGCCTCATCTTCCTCACCTCGCTTGCGGCCTCCCTTACGAGGCTGAAACAGCGAGTTTTGCAGGCAGCGGCCTTCGCTCATTAATGAGGTCAAATCCCCTGCTTGCCACAATGCCATTCGCTTTGGTTTGCTCTCGCGAGGGGTTGACTGTAGCATCAGGGAGAACCGGTAGAGAGCGATGCAGTCAGTGCCAGCAGAGCCAGTGAACCGTCGAAGCTCAGCAACTAAAAGATTGACAAACTGGCTAGCAAACACTAATTTCCATTGGTGGGTAGTGCTTGATTTGTCTTTTATCCCTCTTTCTCTCCCCTACTGTTGTGGGGAATTTGTGGTGTGTTAAAAATGAATTCATGGTGCACTGCCAGCTCCTTTCTCTAGAACGTTTACACTCGATTGCAGCATCTTCATTGCTTTTGAGAACAGTCAGAACACCTCCACCTCCTACACTCGATTGTGCGGTCTCAGCCGAACTGAACACAATGAAATACCAATATTTTGCCCACTGCCTGGTCATTATCATTCTGAGATCAGTGTTGAGGGCTGAAGTCCTGTGATGGAGTGTATGAGATGGTGGTACAGTGCGTATCGGTTCTAGTGTGGTTGTATACAAGAATATACTGCTTACAAGAATGAACACTCATTTTTTCATAATCATAACACATATTTTATATGTATATTAAATTTTATTCTTACAAGCAGTATTATCGCATAGTAGAATATATCGGCCCTAAGAATGGATTTTGTGTAGCAAAATATGCCAGATTAGTGCAAAGTGTATCGCCTGTAGTAATAACATCTGTGCTCTGTGCATACTCAATACTAATATTCAACACAAAAAGAGAGTTATGTCCAAGGGAGCATTGGAGAATCACTTTTTCTGTCCAGTCGGACTCTTTCTTCCGACTTCTCTCGATCGTATCCGCTGCTCCGCAGTCGCCTAGCACGACCGCGAATCTGATTGATCCGTACCGTGTGTATCATGTGTACGTGTCCACATGCCAAACGTGCGCGCATACATATGATCAAGAGTATGGGTTATGTACTCTTGATATGATATGTCACACGTGCATAATTATGATAATATGTCACACGTGATTTATCGTGTGTAAGAAATATCGGCAATAAGAATCAAATGTCGTTTTTCAAACACCCACGCTATAACCGATACCTACTGTACACATAGTATTGTGTTCTTCTGCATTGCTCAGTCGTTATGCAAGGCTTTGGCTCGGTAGTATCCGGTGCTGAATTACCAACAAAGCTCTCATCAACATGATCTTCATGGAGGTCTGTTGTGCCATTCATATACACAGTAACACTGTATGTTTTACGTGATTGCACTTTATGTTGTTGGTGTTGATAGATTGCCAAGGCTCGTTTCACTGTCAATCAAGATCCACTGGATGCAGCACTCTTCTACTTGGCCATGAAGAAGCAGTCCTTATTGAGAGCAATGTTCAGGTATGCAGACAAGAACATCATGCATTGGCACATACCTTCTGCAGTGCAATTCGAAAGTCAGACAAATTTAATAATTCTGTGGTGATTTTGTGTAGAAATTTCGGAAACTAGCTTACCGGTATTTGAACAGTCATTTAGAATAATGGAACACTCTGTGCTGTTGCAATTCTACTGTGTAGCAATCCATTAAAGGGGAAGTTAAGGCAAAAATCAAAATTTCACCAGTTGTAGTCTTCGGGGTGCTGAGTCGAATGGTCTTGGTCCGAGAAAGCTGGGACGCTCCGTTCCTACTTGAATCCCAATCGAACTCGCGCACTTCCACCGAAACTGGGTGACTGCGCCCTACTAGATGGGGATTTGTATGCAAAATGTCACTAAAAGCGCCATTTCGTTCTTATAAAAGCACGGATGACCGCGATTGGCCCATATGTTGTAGTCTTTTGGACGCTGAGTCGACTGGTTTTGGTCCGAAAAGGCTGCAATGCAGCGTTCCTCCTTTATTCCCAATCGAACATGGTTGAACAAGCGGTCACGTGCTCCTGGGTGCCCAAATCACCTGGTCACCACGCCAGCAGGCGACAACTTTCACACCAAGGTTCAACTCGAGTGACAGGACTGCACCCAAAAAAGGTCAAACAGGCTAGTAAGTTGTACCCTGCACGGGCCTGCAGGCACGGTGACCAGGTGACTGGCGTACGCAGGAGCACGTGACCGCTTCTTCAACCATGTTCGATTGGGAATAAAGGAGGAACGCTGCATCGCAGCCTTTTCGGACCGAAACCAGTCGACTCAGCGTCCAAAAGACTACAACATATGGGCCAATCGCGGTCATCCGTGCTTTTATAAGAACGAAATGACGCTTTTAGTGACATTTTGCATACAAATCCCCATCTAGTAGGGCGCAGTCACCCAGTTTCGGTGGAAGTCCGCGAGTTCGATTGGGATTCAAGTAGGAAGGGAGCGTCTCAGCTTCCTCGGACCACGGCCATTCGACTCAGCACCCCGAAGACTACAACTGGTGAAATTTTAATTTTTGCCTTAACTTCCCCTTTAAACAGAAATTCTCCTTTCCATGTTGGTAGTTTGTGACTGTTGTTTGCTGTGCTATGTTGTTCATGTGTGTTGATGTCTGTGTGTTCAGAAATGCACGTGATGATCGTATGGCCAGCTTCTTTGCCAATGACTTCAAAGAGGAACGGTGGCGCAAGGCAGCCCTCAAGAATGCATTTGTCCTGCTGGGAAAGCAGCGGCTGGAGCAGGCAGCAGCATTTTTCTTGCTGGGCAACTCACTGGACGATTGTCTGGAGGTGTGTGTACACCGAATGCAGGATCTTCAGCTGGCGCTGGTCGTCTGTCGGCTGTTTGAAGGCCTGGGAGAGTCCGGGCCAGTCTATCAGAAGATGTTGCGCAAGTATGTGCTTGATCCTAGTGCAATCACGGTAAGAACACGGCCGTCTGCACCAGCAGCCTCTGCAACACCGAAGCACTCGGCGCCTACAGCATCAACGACTTTTGTTTCGAACTCATCCTTTGGCTTATCATCTGGTGTTCAGACCAACGCAATGCGCCAGGATTCTCATGTCGCACCACCATGCAAAGATCCGTTCTTGCGCAGTCTTGCTCATTGGATTCTGCAAGATTATGCCATGGCACTGGATACTGTGCTAGAGAGTGTGGTAGAGTCCTCACTATGTGCACAGTCAGATTCCCAGGACAGTACCGACGCTGATGTCAAGCTATTCAACTTCTACTTCTTCTTGCGGGAGCACCCCCTCCTTCTCCGGCGACAGTATTCAGCTCCTGCGACAACCGATGGCTTCTCCTCCGGTCGATTCAACCTTATGGGTAATGCAAGCGCAACAAGCACAAATGATGCAGTGTCCACTTCTGCACCAGCGAAACCACGCATTAGTGGTGTTGGTAGTGATCCACTCACAAAGTATGAGCGACGACTACTCTTTCAAACAGCCCAGACTCATCTGCAGCATGGCCGCCTGATCCTGGTCTTGGACGTCCTGTCCCACTTGCCCGTACAAGAGGCTGATGACGCTTCTCCTGAAAGTGAATCTGCATCAGAGACCGTAGAAGCTAGCGCAACAGAGTCAGACACAGCTCTCTCGTTCGACTGGAGTCAGCCCAGTACAACGTTGGACGTTGGCAACACGGCCGACTCATTTGACTGGTCCACACCAGTATCAACGCTGGCCACTAGTACTGAGGATACTGCCGGTTCCTTTGATTGGGGTGCTCCTGTTGGACTACAGCTTAGCTCACTGGATGACGACTTGGACTCAGCATTAGACTTGAACAAAGCCTCGGGTTAGTTGTTTGTGCTAGAGAACTGGAGCAATGTAATTTCTACCTGATTCTGGTTTTTTCTGTGTGCACATGCTATCCCTTGCAGATTTGGTAGTACATGTATATGTGCATGTATTCAAAGTGTGCCTGTGTGAATTCTCGATCAGTACCCTTGTGTTGCTTCTGACGGAACCAAGCTATATTGTAAATGGCTGAAGCTTTGATTTCTGAGTTCAGCCGTTGTGCAGATTTCCTGTTTCTGTATTGTCTCCATTTGTAGCGTAATTTCCTGATTGGTTCTTATGATTGCTTTTGTATTCCTTGCAGGTCCTTCCGATTCTCCTGTCAATGGTACCTTATCTGCCTCAGCTTCTGCCTCTCCTGACCAAAATGGCACTGCGAAAGACAAAAACCCAGTGTCGTCACAAATGACCACGTATTCAGTTACTCAGTGGTCGGCGTCTGCACTACGCTGGAGAGCCATTCTCAACCTTGTGCTTCGCGAGATTTCTGCTGCAGCGGCTCATGTCATGGAGAGTGGTCTCGTGGACAACTTCTTGTCGGAGCTGGATGAGAAGGCACGACTGACTGCCCGTGCAGCAGATGATTTGGCTACTCCTACGGCTTCTCTTTCCGCTGATATGTCCGTGCCGGAATCGGCGCAGCCATCCTCACAATGGCTTCCCCTGCAGGTAATGTGACTGTGGGAAACAGTAATGAAGGGTGCACACTGCTTCAGATTCATGCTTATGTATTTTTCATTATTTATCACTGTGAATCTGGTACGTAGCTGGCGCAGGGGCATCAGGAGTAATTGTGAATTGTCGACCTCCAGTTTCATTTGTCATGTGCTACCGATGATAATAAGCACAAGTCCACATCGATCCACAATTATGCATTGTCCAGCCATGAGGTTGTCGGGTGGCCTCTGCCACAGCCTCGTTCCACAGTACCCTGCTGCGTGTTGTCAAGACGATTTTGCGGGACTTGCTCTTGCGCTTGTTGCATCTCTTGCATATATGCAATATGCATGTGCTGTACCTCACTCTCTTTCGTTGGTGTGTTTTTCTTGTTCATCTCTGCAGTGTATGCGAACACTTGATCTCCGCCGCTTTATCTGGGGCTTGCTCGTTGAGGAGCTAGGTGTATGGCATGAGATGTGTGGCCGGCAAACTAAACTAACCTCCTTTCAGAAGGATGCTCTTCTAAGAGCACTGCATGGTACTGCAGCCCGATGCCAAGGTGACCAGATTGCCGATGCTGGGATCAAGTGGATTTCGGAGAATCGCAAGGTCCTGTCAGCGATGTGGCAGTACCTGGATCTAAATGCTCCATTCTGTCCACCGCTACAGACAGCTCTGCATGAGATTGGTGTTTTGTTGCAACGGCCACAACCACCCGCTGTCAGCGTGGTGCACAATATAGCTGTAGCCATGTTCAGGACAGAGCTTGCCGTCAACGACCATGCTCACTCTCCCCGGCGAATACTGCAAGAGGTTGCTGACCTGCTGCCACAGGCCATGCCACCATTCCTGCTCAGTGCCTCGCCGTTGCCCTGCCATACGCTCTGGTCACCTCTCAGTGACATTCGCAATATTGCACAGCAGATCTTCTCTCTCATCCAGGAGTACCCAACGCTACCATCTGCCAATCCACAGTTTGACGACAAGCGCATTGGCCAGCTGATGCAGCTGAGTGGCATTTTGTCAACGCATGTTATCCAGTCTCTATCCACGGTTGATCATGCTCTGTCACCAAGGAACTTATTACACATGTCCAGTGGACGATGCTCGCCGTTTGCCTTCAGCCTTGTTCAGCATGCTCTACCGGCACATCAACAGTCAAGAGCTGAGTATGTTCACGTGTTTAGTGTACTCGAAGTACTGTATTACAAATAAGCTGTACTGCTGTGCTTGCTTTGATGTACTATAATTATGTTGGGCAACTGTTTTGAAGCATGTGAATTAGCGGCGTGCCTGCCTGACTAGTACTCGATGAGTTTGAGTCACTGATTATTTGGATACTGTGGGCAGACATAGTGTATAGTGCAGCTTGTTCAACGCTCTGTTGTTTCTGTTTGTCTTGATCACTGTGCCTTGTGCTCTTAGATCAGACTGCAAGTACGCTCTGCGCAATGCAATTGTTTTTTTTGTTTGTTTTTGTGCTATACGTCAAGTTCACCACCCGAAGTCATGATTACACGTGACTTTACACCAACCAATGCCTCCGGCACTGCTTCATCGGGTGCAAGCTCTTCTCACTATGACACCCCATCGTTCTTGGCATCCCGTCAAGAATTGGCACCACCCTCGCAATGGCCAGGCCTGCGAGGTTGGCCACGTCATCTCACCAACGCTGACTGGTGTGCATCGCCTACCTCTGACATGGTATTGCTGAGTTTGCTCCTTGGCGAGGCTTGTGTCGCCGTTTACCTTGCCATGACGTGCGTTGCCTTGTCCAAACTATCAGCACGAAACCTGCTAGGTCTATTGAAGAACATACCCAATGACAAGGTCAGTTTTGTTTTCTCCTCCATCTACACGTATCTATCTATCTATCTATCTACATAAGTGGGTCTATCTATCTCTCCCTCTCTATCTATGTCTCTCTCTCTCTCTCTCTCTCTCTCTCTCTCTCTCTCTCTCTCTCTCTCTCTCTCTCTCAGCCCGTTAACTAGTCGTATGAGCTGAATGTAAAATTAACTACAATTATGAGACAATCATTAACATTGTGATATTTCCAATAAGAGACCACCTTTGTTTAGTCATTCTTACCTGTATCGAAAGTGCATAACCGAGAGTGCTCAACTCAGTGGTCTCTGAGCTTGCAGTGGAATGCGGCTATTGACACTGGTGGCTAGAGCTCAAAAGTGCAGCTGCGGTAGTCAAAGCAGAACGCCGGATGGTAGATCTATTCACCCTGAGCCTGACGAACTCATAATGTATCTACATTACTAGAACCGAAAGCAAGAGTACATAACCCACCAGAGTGTGCAACTCCCACATACCCTGCTGTCCCGGCAGAATTTCAAGTTGACGTCATTATTTATGATGCAATGCTCCGTGCACCAGTGATTTACAACGAGTGTACGGGTGTCAAAGCATCACACGTTTTTCTTTGCAATAATTTGTACAGGATCGAATAGGCTTTGGTCAACAACAGGTTCCAGATTCGTCTGATAATCCGTGTACAGTGCGCATTGCATCATAAAAATGACATCAACTTGAAATTCTGTTGGGACAGCACCCATAGTTGAGTTGCACACTCTTGGGGGTTGTGTACTCTTGCTGAAAGGCATACATACTTGCCGAAAGGGATGCTATAAAAACATTCTGCTGTGGGTGAGTACATCGCAAGTCAAGATAGGAGTTGCACATTCTTGATTATGTGCTCTTGTCTGCATGTATTGTGCTGGTTTGCGGTGTGAATTCTTCTTTTCTCGCTGGTCTTTTCTCTACATTTAGCTATGGCATGCAACATTCGGTGGAGGTTACCGTCTTTCAATGGGAACTTCATCAGGCGTCGGCGCACATGATGGAAACGCCACCACCGGTACAGATGGCCGTGAGCACCGACTGCGCTCTGGCAGCTTGAGAAAGCGTATGAGTGAAACATTCAATGCTGCTGCACGGCGCTTGCACCCCCATACGACCACCGGCCGGGACAGTACTGGCAGCCGTAACTCTGATGCTGGCTCAACGAGACGTCCCAGAGTGGTCGATGTCTTCATGTTCCCGGCAGTGTCGTTGGATGAGTTCTTTAGGACATGTGTAAGTTGTAGCAGAATATTTGACCTGCCTCTAAACTCAGTGGCTTTCACAATTTCCCTGGAAGGGAATTGTGGTACAATCAGTAAGAATTCCTTCAATGTATGTACATGACATCATAGGTATACTTGTATACACGTACATGTACATGTGTGCTCTATGACTGTGTAATTGTATTGAATTTGAAACTTGGAA